AAACAAAAAAACCCCAAACAAACAAACAAAATAACAAAACAAAACAAAAAGGACAGGAGTAAGTACTTCTTGAAGGGTTGCCGTGAAGGAGGACACAGTGCATTTAAGGTGGCACAAGAGGACCCTCTGCAACAGCTCATTGTTGCTTCAAACCTTGGAAATGACAGTCAGTCCTCAGGCGTTGAGGAGTCTACCAGGAGCCTTGCAGAGGCAGTTAGGAGGAGCCAGGGTGGTCCCAGTACAGGCTCTGCATCATACAGCAGGGTTGTGATGCTGGACAGGCTGCTAAATTGTTCTAAGCGAAACCACTTCCTTATAAAGTAGGGAGAACTTCCTCTGGTTTCTGCTTCTTGGGGCAAAACAGGATTAAGGAAAGGGCACTTCCTGCAAAAGTACAGCATGAAGGGCAACACACATAAGAAGCTGCCCCTAGGAACCACCGAGAAAGTGTTTGTATTTACTAAACCACAGTTGTGCAAAGTGAGTTCCTTCTAGAACGCACTGGAGTGTACACAATGAGGAAGCACAGCTCTATTCAGCAGGACTGCGCAGGAGCTACAGTTTAACAGCCATTTAACGGCAACGCTTTATCCAGAGCACAGCCAGGCTCTTTCAGGTGACTTTGTTCTAGTTTGGTGTTTTCCTGGGTCAAACTGCCCATCACTACCAGTCACCCAGATCACAGCTCTCTCCCATTTTAGCTTTGCTTTCTTGTGGCTACTGTGGAATCTAGATGGAGACAGGAGCTGTGGAATCTAGATGGAGACAGGAACTGGAATCTAGATGGAGACAGGAGCAGAAGTTGTGACTCGACACAGTCCTTACTGCAACACTACTGCCAGGTACCCAAGGACTCCTGTTGTCCAGCATGCAGGGAGGCTCCTATGGCTGAGGCTGTGGACAGGGCTTCGCCACCATAACTTACCATGGCCACTGCTATGTGCCAAAGCTCTACATATAGCCCACTGTCATCACTTGCCTTCAAAAATGCATCGCTGCAATAAATATAGTTCAGAGTTTTCAGTGGAATATCACTGTGAAGCCAAGCACCGTACACAAGAAGGTGATGAATACACGAGAAGGGTTAGAATAGGAAATCAATAAAACCAAAAATGGTATTTTGAAAAAATGATGAAGTTGACAAACTTTCTGATGGGGAGATGGCTTAGAGAGGGAGTGAGGACTGGACAGTAAGCACGGTGACTTAAGTTTGGACCCCAGAGCCCACACAGTCAGAGGTGGCCATGTGCATCTGTAAGCCAGCACTCCATGGAGACGGGAGGCAGAGAAAGGGGAGTCCCAGGAATCTCACAGGCCAGCCTCAAACAGGGTAGAAGGTAAGGACACTGGACCGCTTTCATGTACAGTGTGCAAGCACACACTCATGTACATTACACATATCACACACACACAAAGAGAAAAAGACCTGAATCATTAAAAGCAGAAATAAAAGACATGTTACCGCAGTCTCGAAGAAATAAAAGGATCATGAGAACACTATATGGGAACTGGATGCTGATAAGTTAGATGACGCAGATGAATAAATTACTGCGAAAGCAGAAAATGCTCAAACTGAATCAAGACTAGAATAGATGTAACAAATAAAGACAGAGTGAGTAATGGCACCAGGACTGGAGAGAAGGCTCAGCAGCAAACAGCAGTGGCTGCACAGGCCTGATGACCCCAGCTAGCAGGGGGAGCCCAGGGTGGCAGGAGAAACCAACAGCAACAAACACAAAAGTCACAATAGCCCAAGCTAGTATGACTACCCTGATAAAATTATAACAAATGCTTAAAAAGTACTGAACACCAATCCTTCACAAACTCTTCCAGAAACAAGAGGAGTATTTCAATAATAATGTCTATTTTTTAAAACCAGGACCTAATGCATGCTGGGTAGAAGCTCTGCTACTAAGCTACGTCTCCATAGTGGCTACACCCCAAGCATTTTAGAGGTCGGCATTATCCCCACACCAAAACTACACAAGCTCTTGACAAGAACAGGAGGTCAAAGATCAATATTCCTCAGGAATATGGACATCAACTCCTCAACAGTACCAGCAAGTCAAAGCTAACAGCACGTACAACACACACACACACACACACACACACACACACAGGGTTACATATCATCGTGGCATAGGATCTATGCCAGGAATAGTGAGCTCTATTTGTGTTCACTGGACTTGTTTTGCTGCTGTGACAAAATACCCCAGAAACAAAACGGAGAAAAGAGGCAGGTGTGGTGGCATATGCCTGTTCTCCTATTGGGGCAAGCCTAGTTTACGTACAGAGTTGTAGACCAGCCAGTGAGAGACTTGTCACAAGCAAACAAACCTCATTTCACATGTACTAAGGATACAAAAAAAAATTAGGAAAAATGCTTTTTTGGGGCCAGTATGTAGAGAAACAAACCTCATACTCCGCTGGCAGAGTGCAGAAAACAGGAAGTTCCCATTCTGGAAACAGCGAGCCATCCTACAGGACACCAGGGACCCTCACCAGAGCAGAGGGCCCTGCAGAGCTGAAATGTGTCTCCCTAAGATTTTCACACAAATGTTGGTGGGAGCCTCCACAGTAGCCAGAAAATAGAAACAAGCCAAGTACCTGGGATTGAGGCATGGATGAACTGTAGCCTCCACTGATGGAGTGTTATTAGGTCATAAATATGAATGAAGAGCTGATGAGTGCTAAAGCATGAAAGAACTGAGCACGCCTTTAATCCCAGCACTCGGGAGGCAGAGGCAGGCGGGTCTCTGTGGGTTCAAGGACAGCCTGCTCTACAAAGTGAGTTCTAGGACAGCCAGAGATGTTACACAGAGAAACCCTGTCTTGAAAACCAAAACCAAAACCAAACATCAAGCAAACAAAAAAGGCCATATACTTATCAGGATTCTATTTCCATGTACTGTATCGAATAGGCAGATAGGAAGTGACCAGTGGCTTAGGGACTTCAGGTTTCTGAGGGCAAACAGAATCTGCTAATCAGAGAATCTGCTCCTGGGATAATGAAATATTCTAGGATTGGGCAGTGGTGATGCACAACTTCGTGAATATATTAAAAGTCATTGTGGAGTATCCTATACAGTAAACTATAGAAGAGTAAGTTTTATGGTATGTGGGTTATAACTTCTTTTTTCTTTTATTTTTTATTGATACAGGGTTTATGTAGACCTGACTGTCCTTGAACTATGGTAATTACAGAGATCCACCTGCTTCTGCTTCCTGGGTGCTGGGATTAAAAGCATGCACTAGTACACCTAGCATCTCTTTTTTTCCTTTTTGAGTCTTTGGAACAAAGCCCCCTTTAGTTCAGGCTGGCCTTGAACTCACTATGTAGTAGATGAGGATGATCTTTACCTCCTTTTATGTCCTCTTCCCCAAATGCTAGGATTAGTACTTCTGGCCTTTTTGTGTTTTGAGATTGGATCTTATTCAAGTTGCCCACAGTGACCCTGGACTCACCCTGTAGCCAAGGCAACCCCTGAGTTCGAGATCCTCCTGCCTCAGTCTTCCAGGTAGCTATAGTTACAAGCCTGTACATCAGGGATGGCTGAATAAAAACTCTTAAATAATATAGTCATTAGTAAAAGGAGAAAAGAGGAGGTGTTGGCAACGACGTAGAAAGGGGTCCACCTGGGTGCAGGCTGGGGTTTCAAGAGCGGTGAAGCTGACTGCTTGCACCTGGGCGTCAACCAAGTGCACTGCTGAGCGTCCTCTCCATCAGGCTGCGCCAGTGCACTCACTGGTGAGCGTCCTCTCCATCAGGCTGCGCCCACCAACCTGACAGTCCTGCGGTCAGTGTGCTACTGCACATGGAGGAAACACACAGCTCATTTCATCCTGTTTAACCTGACAGCTGCAGGACATCCAGAGGGTAGACAACTACGCCTGTTCTAGATTCCTTCCTGCCTCCGTAGGGACGTCTTCCTTGCCCCCGTTCATTCTACACGGGGTAACTTCACATATTTTCCAACAAAGTCACAAAGCAGGGATGAGCAGGAGATGGGCAATAATTCTGGAGATGCCACAGGCCCTCACATAAAGTGGCTTGTTTTGTTTTAGTTTTTCAAGACAGTTTTCTCTGTGTAACAGCTCTGCCTGTCCTGGAAACTCACTCTGTAGACCACCGAATTCACAGGGATCCGCCAGCTTCTGCCTCTCCAGTGCTGGGATTACATGTGTGGGCTATCACTACCCTGCCTTTGTTTAATTATATGTTTTGATGTGTATAAGGTGTTTTGTCTGCATGTATGTCTGCGCACCCAAGGAGGTCAGCAGAGGATGTTGAATCCCCTTAAGCTGGAGTTAAGGATGGGAATTGAGCCATGGTCCTCTAGCAGAGCAGTCAGTGCTCTTAACTGCTAAGCCATCTCTCCTCACATAGTTTAAGAGAAATATACTTCGTACATGAACCAAGCATATTTAGATCTTTGGGAGCAACTAACAAAAACCCATGTCAGAACACAGAATAAACTGAACTCCCACAGGAGCCGGGAAGTGGCTTTTGGGATAGGGCAGTGCTGGAACTGAACATCCCCCCCACCCCCCACGGTAGGCAAATGCACCACTAACCTCGCACACAAAAGTTCTAAAGAGCAGAAAGGCACTCACAAAACACTAATACCAGGACCGAGGCTGCAGTTCCGCGTAGAGAGCTTGCTTGGCATTTGTGGGGCCCTAAGTTCAGGCTCTACTATTGCCAGGGAAAACAACAAAACCCAGAGAACAGATATCTCCATGGCAACACTTTATGCAAATTTTACTTTCTTTGTATTTTTGATAGTGTTTAATTTTTTTTTAAAGGTAATTTTCATTTGGTGACAAGTCATATATCTTTATTTTAAAAGGGAAAAAGCTTGTGCTGGCTCAGATAATCTCCAATACCCTCTTTAGCTCTGGAATACTGACAGGGCCCACCTCTCCACGCCTCCCTGGAAGGCGTCCTAACAGCTTCTCTGTTACTTTGAAGCAGGTTCTGTGCAGTTGGCGTTACTTACCTGGACAGGGGGCTCAATCATGATCCAGGCTGGAAGCATCAGGCTGGGATTCAGAGGTTGGGTTCCAACACGGAAGTAAATCCCACCCCTGGAGTCACAGGCCCAGACATGCTGATTTCCACACGCCAAGCTGGTCAGTCTTACAGTTCCTGCAGAGAAACAACTTACACTGTAATTATTTTGTCAAACAACCAATCTTTCAGCCAGTGTATAAGCTACTTCAGGTGAAGACAAGAGGCTACACCTGCAGCTGAATGCTGGCGTGTGTCACGCTTCTACACTGGGTATGAAGCTATCCCTTAACTGCCTGCTGCCTTGGAGCATCCTATGTAGACTTCTGGCTAAGTAGCCACAATGCCATCAAGCACAGTATCCTGAGATAAATATCTCCATGTGAGTTTCCCCATTAACTCATGTGACCATTGCTAGTTATTTCTGGATGTGTGGAAAGGGAACCTTTATTGACTAGAATTAAGAGTAAGTCTCCTAAAGAAAAAAAATCTAAAGAATCTGCACTTTATTTTTTATTTATTGATGTTTCAAGACGGTGCTTCTCTGTGTAACAGCCTTGGCAATCTGGTACTCACTTCGTAGACCAGGCTGGCCTAACTTAGGGAGATCCACCTGCCTCTGCCTTCTGAGTGCTGGGATAACAGGGCTGTGCCTCCATGCCCAGCTATTCACTTTTATTTTTGCACTTTCTCTTTGCTAACTAAACTAGCTGCTAGCCACAGAGGGAATGTACTGGAAGGAGTTAAAAAGAGAAGGAGCTGAGCTGGAAGGGTGTGGCTTAACAGAGAGCACTTGACAAAGCATCTCAAGGAAAATCATACATCGTATTTGATAACAGTCAGCAACTAAGTACAGCTGTCAAGTCGCTTCCTATCTACTGTAAGGCAGGCCCTCAGCCTCGCTTCAGACATGACAGCGACGACAGGTACATGGTTTGCACTGGACAATGGCAGGGTGCAGCCATTAGGGAATTTGTCCTGGATCACAGGCCAGGTCCTGGATCATAGGTCACCAGGAGGTGACCAACCCAGGAAGCAGAGAAGGACGGCAGGTTTGAACCCAGGCCAGCTACCTCTGACTTCCAAGTCTATAAACAACAAATGAACAGATAATGTTCAGGTTCAAGTCCAGATTTGACAAATTAATCTACCAGAACAATCCATACCTTACCAAGATATAGGACATTCTGTCTCCCTAAGAATTTCCTGCCATGGACTCTGCTTGAGGCCAAGGTCTCATGTACCTCAAGCTGCCCTCAATTTTGCTATGTAGCCAAGGACGACTCCAAGCTGACATCTACCACCAGAGCTTAGATCGGTCTTCTAGGGTTCACACGGGCAGAGCCAAAGTCCATGTGCCTCAGGCAGAGCCCTCCCTTTGTTGCTAAGTGTCATTGCATTGCACACAAATGCCACAGGTAGTTTCTGTACTTATGTAATGGTGGACATTTGGGTCATTTCCATGTTCGCTATCAGCAAACCTGCTGTAGCCACTCTCTGCGTAAGTCTGGTTTTCTTGTGGCAAGCCAGGCCTGACAGTCCACACCTGTAATCTCAGGCTGAGGGAGTGGGATTATGCTTAAAGCTATCCTGGACTGCACAATGAGGCCAGGTCTCAAAAGGAGAGTGAGGGGAGCAGAGCATATACCACTGTTATTTCCAGGAAGAGTTTTAAATTATTTTTACGTGTTTTGCCTGCATGTATGTAAGTGTGCCATGTGTGTGCAGTGCCTGAGGAGGGCAGAGGGAGGTGGGTCCCCTGTAAGTAAAGTGGCAGATGGTCGTGAGTCACCATGTTGGTGTTGGGAGTTCCAGGCCCTCTGGAAAGACAGCCAGTGTTTTTAGCTGCTGAGCCATCTCTCCAGCCCCAACCCTTCTCATATAGTACAAGTGTCAGGTTAGATGTCTTACTTTCACTTTTTTATTTTTAGAAAAAGTTTTCATTGGATTTATTTTATTTTATTTTACATTACACACACACACACACACACACACACACACACACACACACACACACACGCAGAGTGGGAGGGGGTTGGGTGTGAGTGTGTGAGTGCTTGCATAACCAGCGGCAACAGACCTTGGAGCTGCAGTTACAGGTGTCTGTGAGCCTCCTGACACAGCGTGCTGGAGACCGGAAGTTGAGCTTCCACCAGAGCAGCAAGCTCTTAGAACCATCTCTCCAGCCTCTACTCACATGTGTACATGTGTGTAAATCCTAAGTCAGAAGTCAACTTGTAAGAGCTGATTCTTTCCTTTTACCACATGGCTCGGGTCATCAGGACTGGCAGCATCACTTTCAAAGGGAATGCAGTTTCGCCAAGTTGCAGTATTTTACATACCTGCCAGCAATGTCACGTCCAATCTGGTTTTGTATATCCTTATTAACAATTTGTTTTTTAAGACAGTGCCTCATGAAAAAGCTGGGTAGTGTGTTGCACACTTTCAATCCCAGCACTCGAGAAGCAGATGCAGGCAGATCTGAGTTTGAGGCCAGCCTGGTCTACAGAATGAGTTCTAGGACATGTCTATGTGCTGCTGGGCAGTGGACATGGGACTCACACGTTAGGCAAACGCTTTACCAACTGACCTAATCCTCAGCTTCCCCACTGGATTTTTAAAATTAATAAAAGCTTGTTTTATTCTACTGCCTTTCCTATATAACAACTATTCTTCCTTATTCTGTCTTTGACAAAGCCCTTTTCATTTGTTTTGAGTCAGGGTCTCACATAACCCAACCTGGCTGGCCGACAATTTACTATGTAGCCAAGAGCCTGCCTTGACTTCTGATTAGAGACTCCGGGTCTCCTCCCTGGCCCCCAGGTGCCCTCATGTATCCTGCATCGTCTGGGGATGGCCAAGGGCTCTGGCAGCTGTTTCGCTTCAGCCTGTGAATCTATTCTTGAAACTGTTTAGAGTAAGTACAGGCTAGGATGCACGTGGAAACCAGCTCTCACAGATACACAGCAGTATACCCCGAGTGGCCACTGCAGCCCTGGACATCTGAGCGCTGACTTCTCTCATTATATACCTATGTCAAGATGCCTACCGGACTAGCAAACCGAGGTGTTTTTGTAGCACCAAGCCATGGAATGAAGCCACAGGGCTGTGGATGATCAGCCCATGTTTGGTCAGCTTCTGGATCTGCTGATGGGAGCTGGCATTGACAGTATCATTGGCCGTATTAGGATCCCAGCAGGCCTTTTGTGACAATGGAGGATACTGGAGAACACCCTCCTCTGGCTGGAGCATCCTCATGGCAATGGTGAAGAACAAACTCTGGTCAGGCTTCTCCTATCACTGGGTATCTTTTTAATGGCAGACATTTAAATTATAACTTGTCATAGCTTTAATCTGCAATTTTCTGCTAAGGAATGATACTGAGAAGCCTTTGCTGTGCTTATGGGCCACCTGTATGCCTTCTTTGAACAAGCATTCACAAATGAACACATGCATGTCAGGTGTGGCGATGCAAACCCATAATCCCATCACTCTAGACCAGTGGTTCTCTACCTTCCTAATGCTGCCACCCTTTAATACAGTTCCTCATGTTGAGATGACCCCAACCATAAAATTATTTTCATTGCTGCTTCATAACTGTAATTTTGCTATTATGGAGTGTAATGTAAGCATTTGATATGCAACCCCTGAGAAAGGGTCATACAACACCCCCAAACCTGCTGTGACCCACAGGTTGAGAACCACTGCCCAAGACGTAGAGACAGAAGGACTGCCTCAAGTTTGAGGTCAGCTTTGTCTGTAAAGCAAATCTGAGGCCAGCTAAGACTACACAGCATGGCATGTGTTCATTTATGAGTGATTGTCCGATTGCATTTTAAAAGCTGAGCAGACCTGTGACTGGACAAAAGCTGGAGGGGTTCTCTGCATGGTCTGGGGTAGCTGTGCCAGGCATGTCTGTCATAAATCTATCTGTATCGGTTTCTTTACTGTCTGAAGAGAAGCTTTAATTTTGATGAGTCACACTGACCTCTGTGCATGAGCCATGAGCTCAACTGGCAGTGCTGTGGGCTGGGTGGGTACAGTTGTCACTGGCATAGGTCACTGACAACCCTGTGATGGCATCAAAACACAGCAGCTGCACCATGTGGGGTTTAGCTATGTAGCTTCGTGCCATAGGCTTAAACTACCTATTCCTCGCTACACAACAGCCATCAGAACTGTCCCTGTAGCTTGGGTTCTCCATCTATAGTTTCATTAAAGTTAAAAACAAAACAAACAAGGCTGGAAAGATGGCTCACAGGGTAAAGAGCTTGCTGTCAGGCTGAGGACCAGATTATGGATGCCCAGCACATAAATGCTAACTGCTGTGGTGGCCCAGCATATTAGACATAGAGTCAGGGGAATCTCTGGAGCAAGCTGGCTAGCTAGAACAATCAAACTGGTGTACTCTGGGTTCAAATCAAAGAGCCTGCCTCCATATATAAAGTGAAGACAGCCAGTATCAACCTTGGCTCCCCACATGTGCCCCTGCATATGTGTACCCATACACATATACACACACATACATACTACATACAAACAAACACGAAGAAGCGGCACTGTACAGACCTGACATGTATGCACAGATGTTTTCTTGTTACCCTTCCTTAAATAAGGCAACGTGGAAATTCTCCCCCTGGCACTTACATGCATTAGGGTTAAGGCACATAGGTGATAGGAAACCCTGCAACATTTTATTTATATGTAAGGGACTTGTGCATGCTTGCGCTGTGCTATCTAGAAAGGACCAAATACGGCAGAATACGAAAGGATGATCGTGCTGCCTTTACTCTCCCTAACCCTGGTAGACTCTCTTACTCTAAGATAAACTATGTTTTCCTTTCCTTGCTGTCTTACCAAGGAGTTATGACCGACTCCTTAGAATCCTGACATTATACATGGAAAGCAGCTTCCACAATAGTGTATAGTACAAACGGCTAACCACAAGCCGATTCTATGCTGGCTCTATAATCTGCCAGCTGAGGACTTCAGGCAGTAGCTGAGCTGCTAATAGTGATATGGGACAAGCACACTGCTGCCTCTTAGAGTTGGCCACTAAGGGTTGGGAGTTCACAGAAGGTGAACGCATATGTGTGTAGAGAAAACAGAGCCTACTGAGTACACCCTTCACAGACGCCGAGAATTCAAGAACCAGGTCAAAGACAAAAACAGCTGAGGGCTTATGTATTGGAGCTTTTACTTTTAGGTGTTGTAAGTCTGATCCACAGGGTGGAGTGACAGAGGCTCCTCTCTCTGCAACCCCTCTCTGTGTTTCTCATGTCCCTTCAGAGTTAGTAGCTGTGACAGGTCCTAGTAAACAGAAGTGATCTGCGACTTCTCAACTACACCAAGCTGCTGATGCCCGGCCCACCCCAACAACCTCCAGTTCATTTGCTTCATCAAGGAGAAAGACTTTTAGTTACTTTATCCACAAAAAGACACTTTCCTCTTCAAATTGCTTTTTAAAGTGTGTGTGAGTGTGTGTTGGTGTGTCTCTGTGTGTGTGTTGGTGTGTCTCTATGTGTGTGTGTGTGTGTGTGTCTGTGTGTCTCTGTGTGTGTGTGTGTCTGTGTGTGACTATACGGCACAGACTATCCCCAAGCTTGTATGAGCCCCACTCAGCTGGGAACACAGGAATGGTCCGCCACCCTCTACTACAGAATCTTTTTAAGTATGCAGTATAGAATAATAGTAGCATTTGCTTGTTGTCTCCTAAATCATAAAACACGTCTTCACATAAATTAGCGCCTGATATAATCTTATTGGTTACCTAAAGGCACAAACTGACACCAAATATGTTTTCATTACATTCTGTGACCAGATGAATTGAACCACAAATTGCATTAGTTTGCTAACCAGCCAAGTGCCTGACATGCATATTTATGAATAATGGGAAATGAAATGTTATGAGCATCTTAAATATTTGCTAAATGATGCACATTTTCTTTAAAAAAAAAAAAAACAGGATTGTAAAATTCACTGTAAAATTCCATGTCCTATCTCTTTAACTGGGTTCAACAGACAGCCATTTAGTAAGTCTCTTAATCTATTCCTTTTCCTGGCTGCTGTGGCTCTGCTCTGACATCAGTGTAGTCTGGGCTAGCCTTGAACTGGTGACCCTAGTGCCTCGGCTTCCTGAGTTACAGGTGCAGCCACTGTTTTGGCAATCACATAGTTTGTAAGGGTGAAACAGAGAAGGATGCAATGGCTCTAGACTGACAATGCTCAGCTAAGTGCAAAATCTGCCCTCCCTCTGTGGGCCCAGGCGCCATGTTCATGTGTAGAAGGAGTCCAAGGACAGCTAGCAGGAGCTGGTTCTCTCCTTCCACCAACCGAGTTCCAGGGTCACACTCAGGTCATCAGGGCAGCGTCAAGACCTTTACCTCTGAGTCATCTTGCTGGCGTTAGCTAGCTATTTAAAACTATTTCTTGGGGCCGGAGAGATGGCTCAGTGATTAAAAGCACTGGCTGCTCTTCCAGAGGTTCAATTCCCAGTACCCACAACCACCTCTAACTCTGGCTCTATGGGATCCAAGGTCCTCTTCTGGCCTCCCTGGGCACTAGGTGTGAATATGGTGAACAGACATACATACAGGCAAAACATCCATATACATAAAATAAATAATAAACTTTATACTTTATAAAGAAATAAAACCCTAACCTCTCTCTCTCTCTCTGACCCTGCTTTGAGACATCGTCTCACTGTGTAGCGTAGACTTGCCTAGAAGTCTCTAAGTGATCTTGACGTGCTGCTTTCCCTACTGGATACACGGCCACACCTGGAGAGAATGAAGTACAGGACAGCCTAGCGCCTCTAGTGGCAGGCAGTTCGGTGCCCTGGACAGCACAAGGAAGGCTTCTGGTGCAACAGCCAACCTCCCTTCTCACTAAGCTCTACCTAATCCCCTTGCCCCAACACCAAGACTACCAGCTAGACTTAAGCCACTGTTCAGGATGCCAAGAGTCTATTACTTTTACATACTTATATTTTATATATATCGGTTTTATATGTCAGTCATATAAAAGCACAGAGCAGGACACAAACTTAAGGGAGGTAGGACTTCAGTACACAATATGGTGGTGCAAATCAAGTGGCTAAGAGCATACTGCACTTAGCCCAAAGGCCAGTGCTACAACCAAGTTCCAGGAGTCTTCCACCACAGGATGAGACATCTCACATATAGACAGGAGCTTCTCTGGGGTCATTTGAGATGGGGTGACCATATGGAGGGGCCGATTTTGGGGAAAAAGACTCCATTTCCAGGTGAATGAGCTTTGACTTCCCTAGCGCTCAAGGTTTGGTAGTGAGGAGAAAACACGTTAACCCCTGGCTTTTCTCAGAGACATTAGCAGCCTCCCTGCATGGTCTGGGAGAGCCTGCTGGAGAAAGGCTCAGGGTCAGTGGGACTCTGGGCGGATGAAAGGACTCCCAGGCCAGGCAACAGGCTCAACTGGCACCCACGTCCAGGCCACAACTAGCTGCAGTCTTGTCTGGAATACAAATGCCCTTGGAAAGCTCGATGACCAAGAAACCTCAAAGATGGTATGAAGCCCAAGGCATAAATAATCTCAGTTCCTATGGAAGTTCCTAGGTGTTCCACACAGCTAGTCTTCACAGCAGAAACCCCATTGCTAAGAGCAGTGGCCTGGCCCAGGCCCTAGGGCAAAGCATACTTTATAAGGATGGCTATGTGTATAGGTCAATGTAGGAGGCAGCCCTTCCTCGTCTCTTCCCCTAACCCATCTCTCATGTAGTTACTGTACATTAAACACTGATTCGAGGCCACAAAATACTGGCTGCCAGTGTACAACAATGTCTTTTTCCTAGACAATACCATTGAAGTTCAAGCCCATTCTGATCCTGGGAGCTGCCTAGTATGATCTTGGCCTCCAGTATCAGACAAACCACACAAGTTGCTGAGTCAACTGAGAATGTAATATTTTGAGCTCATTTTATCGTCTCTTAGAGTACGAAATATTTCCATGTGTCATCACAGGCTATGCCTACTGTAACTCTTAGGACAGTTCACAGAAAAGTGGTTACTAAGAGCACAGTACCATTTCACTGCCTGAAAGAACCCACTCCACACGGCTCCCACAGTGGTCACTCTTCCAGATTCCAAGACACAGATCAGTGTGCACAGATCCAGTCACAGGGCAGACACCATTTCAGAGTGACAGATCAGAGAGCCAACAGGGCAGCTGTCCCAGTGCCATAATTTAAGCAAATCTTAGCGACACCTTCTGGATGCCGTATAGTTCCTTTGGTTCTGAGCAGTGACTCTCTGCACATTGAGAGGCTCCTTTAACTCGGATAAGTGGCCAGTTACACTGTAAACCCAGCAACTAACGAGTGTCCCCTAGGAGCCCACTTTCATCATGGCCATACCTAGCTGGGAAAGGTCCAGTCTCGTCCAGTGCATGCCTGTGGGACAGCTCCTAGAAAGAGTCCTGATGAACACCTGCCCAAGGTTGTCCAAGGCCCACAGTGCATCCTGGCAGGCAGCGTAGGTCCTCATCTCCACGTCGGGGGGCAGCTGTACCGTGGAGGGGCGGCACTGCACACTCTGGGCACCGATGGTACACAGGTCCTTGCTGCTTTGGCACAGCCACAAGGAGCTTCCTACAGAAAAGGTTCACATTTGTCATCCAACAGTTTCACCGAGCCACCGGCCCGAGTGCACAGCACAGCCTTTCTCTTCAGGCACAGCCCTGACACCTGGCCACAGACTGCCTGGACGCTACCATTACCGTACAGGGTACAGGTGTGTGACACCTCTGACGTTACAGGGTTGCCACCGTCAGACATTAAAACGCTCAAGCCTGAGTCTTTAAAGAACTGGAAAGGGAGCAGGGCTATGAAACATTATAAAGGCTAGATGGCTGGGGTAGTGGCTCTGACCTCCATTTCTTCTGGCCCAGGAATATGAATGAAGGCCTCGGAGCACTTTTAATACAGAGTATTAGGGCTATCAACCTTGCCGATGCCTGTGAAGCAGAGGGGCCAGGCAGCCCCAGGAAGGCACTTCCCTGGTTCCTTTGCTAATGTGGTCTGCTGAAGAAGGCAGAAATCTTTCTCCTCCCACCCTGGCCTTAAGATTATGCTTGTATCCTCCGTTTTCTAGAACTTTCAGGTTTAATAGTGTCTGTTTGAAATGTCAATCATCCTTGGGGACTTAAAACTATGTAATATAAAGTATTATCTAAAACTTGTGGCCAGATGTTTTAGAATTCTTTAATTTTTTTGAGATTTATTTTTATTGTGTATGAATGCTTTGTCTGCATGTATGTTTGTATCATGTGTGTACCTGGTACCCATGCCATGGAGGGCAGAAGGTAATATATGTATCTCTTGGAACTGGAATTTGAGACAGTTGTGAGCTGCCAAGCGGGTGATGGGAATCAAACCGATGTCATCTGGAAAAGTATCCAGTACTCTTAACCATGGAGTCATCTCTCCAACTCCCTTTTTATTAAATTTAAAAACTTTGGCTGGATGGCAGTGGCGCGTGCCTTTAGTCCCAGAACTAGGGAGACAGAAGCAGGTGGATTTCTGAGTTCTGAGTTTGTGGCCAACCTGGTCTACAAAGCAAGTTGCAGGATAGCCTGGGCTACACAGAGAGAGCCTATCTTGCATAACAAACAAACAAACAAACAAACAAACAAACAAAATCTTGATAAAATAGTCAAAGAGTCAGTCAGGAGTGCCAGGAACTCCCCAGGGAGTGGTGCGTGTGCATGCACAGCTGAGCATCAGTGAAGACTGCAGGCCCCTCCTTCCAGCTAAGGGCAGATGCTGCTACCAAAAGCAGCTGTGTCAGACTGAGGAACAACTTATGATCCATCTTACAAGACTCCTGGTAGGACTGTGGTCAGTATAGTTCCACGGCTAAGTGTTTACTATACTGAAGCAAGTTACTCAGTGCCGATGGCTTCAATGGAACCAACTGTTTCCCCAGGCATCACAGCACTTTCTCTCTTAGCCCTCCACATAGCCCTTGAGAGAGGCTCTGGCTCTTTCCCAGCCTAGGGCCCCCAGCTAACTGGGCGACTGTGCAGCAGGAGCCCCATCTCTGCAGGGATAAGATAAGTCTGAGGCGTGAGACTTCCCAGGGCAAAGGGGGCCAGCAGCAAGAGGCATAGGAGAACAAAGCTGCTTGGAGGGACAGAATGCTCCAGAAGAAATGGGGAAGAACTTCAGGAAGTCATGGCCACGCAAACTGACACAGAGTCATCTGCTGCCAGCGCCCAGGACCACACTTCACGGTGACCTCCTTCCAAACGACACCCTCTCAGATTCAGCCTTGCCATCCTTGGTGCCCCTCTGTGGCTCTCCTGAACACACCTCTCCAGGTAAAAAGCCCTCACTCACTCAGCCGAGCCCACAGAGCTGCTGGCCCAGAAGGTCTATGAGGCCACACTACCTTGTGCACCAGGGTTCTCAGTCAGGCTAAGACTGACTCACCATCCTGGGTAGGAGCAGGAGAAGCCAACACAAAGACCCATTTTGTGGCTGAAGCCGTTCCCCGGGGAACAACATTATTCCAGTAAGTTCCTAGAGAGAATAAATACAAAAGTGGGTTAAGGTAAGAAAAACAAACCTGTAACACTTCAGTTTTGGTTCTAGACTATAACTGGCCTTCGAAGCTCTTACAACGATTTCTAGTGTCCTTAAACACAGTGGCATGAGCTACTCATTTCTCTAAGCATCACCAAGAAGAACCATACTTTGTTCACTGAAGCCCAAGGAGGTAACAGGGCAGAGCTAGAGGAAACTCGTCGAGGGAAGTCAATCAGAAATGAACACCCAGCTCATCCACAGGCGTGTGTATGTGTCTGTGAGTGTACATACATGTGTTAGTATGAGGGTGTGTGCCTAAGCATGTTCATGAAGTCCAGAAGAGGGCATCGGGTGTTCTTATCTATCATTATCCACATATTACTTTGAAACAGGGTCTCTCTCTCTCTCTCTTCCCGATCCTAGGGATCAAGTTCTCTCTGTCACCTTAGAAGTCAGCAAGTCACACAGATCCTCCTGCCTCTGCCCATCTTATTGCTGGGTTACAGGTATGTGTGCGATATCTGTGTAAGTGCTTCTTGTGTAAGTGCTGGGATCTGAACTCCTGCCCTTATAGTCTTAACTGTTAAGCCATCTCTACCCACCCCCTGCATGAATTTTGAAATACCAAATATAAAATTGAGCCAAAGCCAGGTGTTATGGTATATGCCTGCAATCCTGGCACTTGGGAGGTAGAGACAGAGGATTAGCAGTTCAAGGCCAGTCTGGCAGCTTGGGCTACACGAGACTCTGACTCGAACAAAAACGACCACCAAAAGCGAGCTCTATTTGCCTGCACACATGTCTGTGTGCCACTTGTGTGTCTAGTTCCCACACCAGAGGCCACTTGGATCCCTTGTTAGTGTCCACGCAGGGACAGAGCCAGGAGTCCTGTGCAAGAGGTGCCAGCGCTCTTAACCATCTCTTTCCCCCTCCACTGGGAGCTGGGATGATGGCACACACCTTTAGACCCAGCACTCAGGTGGCAGAGCCAGGAAGATCTCCGTGTTCGAGGCCAGCCTGGTCTACAGAGTGAGAGCCAGGGCTACAGAGAGAAACCTTGCCTCATAAACAACAAATAAAGTAAAAGTAATGGGAAAACAAGAGTGATGGGCTTACCTATGAGACTCCCTTTAGCAACATGGAACTCACTCTTGCCGGAGGAGACCCAGACGCCACTGTTGTTAACCCCGAGTAGGCTGGGCTGGCATTGGAGCTGCTGAGACCAAAAGGCCATGCGCAGTTTATCTGCTACCTTTCCCACAGGGGCTTGAGCTGCTGTCGCGACCGAGTGTGTGGCATGCACGATGGTCTGGAACAAGCTGCACTGGTCGAACACCACATAGTCTGTGATGCTCACCTGCAGGAAGGATACCTTGTGGGTCCTGGGGATTGAACTCAGGTTATCAGGCTTAGCAGGTGCTCTAACGTGATGAGCAATCTCACCATCTTTTCTCCGTTGGATTTATTTATTACAGACGTTGACACAAATACCCTATTCCTGGGACACGGTCCCAGTTCACACAATGAAATATTAAGTGAGAATATTACATGGAATCTGATTTTATAAAAAGCAAAACACGAAAGAAACCATTAGAAGTGCATATCACACATAAATGCTTCCCTTTGGTCTGTGAAGGGACAGGATAGTTGTGAGTGCTGTCCTCACTGAAGCTGGCATACATAGCCCCCACTGCAGAGCCTGTGGCCACATTCAGCATTGTGAGTTCTGTGCAGCCTGGCTTTGAGACTCTCTGAGTGCCAAAGAATGTGCTCCACTCAGAGATCCACTCAGAGACTCAGGTGCATCCTATGGGCTCCACTCAGAGACTCAGGTGCAAAAGTTATGCAGCTCAGACCAGCGCTTCTCACTGGAAAACTGGCAGAGACTATGCCAAAGCCACACAGCAAGTCTGTGGAACCCAAGACAGATGGACATGTAAGCAGGGTTTCAACCAAAGAGAGAGGAAAGACTTAGCAACCACATGTAAGAGCCAAAGGAAGCAAAGAATTTCACTCTGCTTCTTTGCTTCATGACAATTCTGTCCAGCTAAAGTTCCATGTACGATGAAAAAAACCATGAGATTTCTTTATGTCACTTAAAAATGGACTTTCAGGGCAGCGGTTGGTATGCAGCACAATGGTAGCACATGGCCCGGCTTAACCACAGCACCCCAACACACAAAACCAAGAGAACAAAGGTTCTGTGGATAAAATGCCGAGCTCACATAAAAGGCCTGGAGTCTGCATCCCCAGCACTCATGCACAATACCGGCAGGCAGAGTGGGCTGCTGGTCAACTCAGTGCTTGAAAAGCAGAGGTGCGGCCCTGGGTTAAGCTGGCTAGCTAGACTAGCCAAGTGTGTGGGCTTCTGGGCTCAGCAAGAGACCCTACCTCAGAAGATAAGGTAGAAAGCAATCAAAGAGGAGCCTCAGCAGCAACTCTGGCTGCTATATGCACACAGACACAGACAGATAGACAGACAGACAGACACACACACACACACACACACGCCTCCACATGTGCATATACATATGTGTGCACATTATACACAGACACATGTAAAAATTCCCTCTGGAATTGAGCACATATGGGTATGTATACATATTTATGGACTGTATACATGTGCATGTTCATACATGATTAAAAGTATATGGCAGGTACTTTTAAATCATATATAACCTCTTGAATATTACCTAGAATATCGAATTATAGACACAGAAGTGAGGCATAAGCAACCTTAGGTCCAATGTGGGGAGCAGGATACCAAGAGGGGAGAGTGGATGTTCCTTACACAATCTACCCAAGGCCGAGCTGAAACCATGGAAAGTTGGCTGGATTGCATTCCTTACTTCTCACTCCCTGGGAGCACGTGGGGAAATGCTCAGTTCTTTGTTGAAATATCACTTACTTAAAGGCCTTTCAAGCAAGTAGAGATAGATGAGTTTTAATTGTGGGTTGGGTTTTCAAACCTATTGTTTAGTCTCTTTTCTTAGCGTATTTGTTCAGAATTAAACATCATTATTACCCAGGTCTGTCTTTAAATGGATGTCATGGGGTGTATTTAGCCTATAATGATGAATGCTCAAATAACATTTAAATAAATAATAAATTCCAGCCTGTATTAAAGCAAAGAAAGCCTTACAAGTTATTTCCTATGAGGAAAAAGTTTTTCTGTGTGCATTTTTAGTACACCCAACTCCTACAGGAAAGTCTAACCTACCAAACGTTAAAAGCGAGACTACTAATTTAATCCAGTTTCTTAAGGAAAAGAAGGAAGGCAGGGATGGTGGGTTTCCTAGGCAGAAAGCCCCATCACCTACCTGCCACCAATGGTCATCATCTCCTTGGGGCTTCTTGGGGACAACGCCAGTTCTGAACCACAGCTTCCCATGAATGTCCAGGGCCCAAAGTGTGTGCTGATCTCCTAGAGTTATGCAGACAGGCTCCAGAGTTTGCCTTTCACTGAAAGTGAGAGGAAACAGAAGGCTACCTCACTGATCATCTCTGCACAGCTTGGCGTTGAGAAGAAACGGATCTGTCACAGGGTGATAGAGTGACAGGAAAGGCGCTGAGAGGTGGACAGATGAGTCTACTGTCGTTTCTCCCATCTCGGCTGAGGCTAGCCTTGGCATGCTGCTCACCAGCACTGCAGGCAGTCAATAGCTCCTCGCTGCTGTGTGCCTTCCTCCTTGCTTAGTACCCTCACAACAACTGGCACCCAACTGCCCGCTGCACAGCTCCCCACGGAGCTGGAAGGGTTGCCTCTTGGCTATCCTGCAATACACAGGCCCCAGAGAACCCTGTGGCTCCCAGCAGGGGTCCTAAGATTTACTGGCTGGCTGATCCCAACAAGCACCATTCTGACCAGGCATATATAAAGACCAACTTTTGTTTTGTCTTTTGTTTTATTGTTTTACAAGACAGGGTTTCTCTGTGTAACCCTGTGCTGTCCTGGAACTCACCCTGTAGACCAGGTTGGCTTTGAACTCACAAAGAGCCACCTGCCTCTGCCTCCCAAGTGCTGGGATTAAAGGTGTGTGCCACCACCACCCAGCCCGAATCTTAAATGGTAAAAAGTAAAATAAATTGTAGTCCAGAGCTAATTTCAGCTGACTAGGATAAAACACAAATAAGCATCTGTAGCCACCACATCTCAGACTCCACAGAAGCACGTGGTGGCACGCAGCTCTGCATGGAGACCGTGAGAGCTGGTGGCGCTGATGCTCAGGGACACACTTCCTTTTCCTTTCCTTTTGTTTTTTGAGCTGTGTGTCCACGGCTGAGGGTGCCCCTGAGCGATGAGACCACAGGCACGCGCTGCTCGGCCCAGCTGGTGTCACACTGAGGATAGCGCTCAGGGCCTTGCGCGTGCGTGCTATGTGCACGCCAGGTAAACACTCTGCACCAAAACCCACACATGCTGAAATGGGACCCGCCGTTGGCAGTCTGCCAGCAGAGGAACATGGAGTATTCCCAAGGCCAGTGTGTTGAGGACAACACCACCCTGAACCCTGTAGGCGCCACCTAGGTGCCTGGTCACAGATGAATGTGATGCCATCCCTGGGGCCCATGATACCTGACAATGTCACACTTCCACTGTTCCCCTTCAGGACAGAAGCTGCTCACACCCTCCCGATACACGAGGGCCCTCTGCTCCGTCAGTGCCCACACCACACTGTTCCGGGCAGTGATCTGGGACAGCGGGTAGGGACAGTCAACCTTCACAGCTCGGGCACAGGGCCGATCCACACTGAGACCTGTAGCGAGAGGGGAAGAGCCCGCAATTCATCAGCAGCATGTCATACCCTATTCTGGTCTGTCGTTTTCTCTTTTGGTGCTATCTATGGGGAGGGTCCCAAAATAAATACCTTTTCTGAGATTTTATCAACAACAACAAGTTATGCTTCAAGGTGGCATCTGTCTGAGGCAACTTTGGATGACATTTGGAAACTAAAGAAATATAATTCAGAATTTTCTGGTGTTCCAAAGAAGTTCTCAGTTGGGCAGTAGTGGCACACACCTCTAATCCCAGCACTCGGGAGGAAGAGGCAGGCAGATGTCTGTGAGTTCAAGGCCAGCCTGATCTCAAAATTGAGTTCCAGGACAGCCGGAACTGTTACACAGAGAAACCCTTTCTCGAAAAACTAAGGGAAAAAAAAAAGTTCTCAAGGCAGGAAAGCACAGCCTAGAATAAGAGCACAGAGGGCTTCCCTTCTGCCAGCAAGGCTGTGTCCCTCAGCGGCCTGGGAGACAGTGGGTCCTCAGCTGCAGACCCAGCAGCTCAGGCAGCTCTGTTCTCTGCCTGCAGTGTGGGGTGACCATGCTAAAGTGCAGACCTCTGCTTCCCGGGTGAAACCAGAGCTCTGTCATAGTGCAGTGCTTGTGAGAGTCAGGGCTCCAGGGCTCTTGGAGGCCTGTCAGTATTGGCGCCAAGCACCTGAATGAGGGTACTGAGGGAGCAGGCAGCGCAGCTAATATCTAAACCCAGGCACCACAGCCTTGGCCTGCAAGCAGGCCCTGGCGGTCCAGTCACAAAGGCACCCACAGCCTGTGCAGCTGCTGTGGACATCTTCCTGCAAATCCTGCCAAGCCTGCACTAACCCAGCAGGTCTGGGAAGGTCAGCATAATCTCAACACTGATCTAGTGACTGCTCTGATGTCATGCTCCTTACCTGCAGGTTCAGAGTAACCCTTTCCCTGCCAGGACCAAAATCAAACGCCCTGCCAGCTGCATGTGCATGTGCCTATCAGAGCAGCCTGTTTCCAATCAAAGACATGTGAAGGCTCTAGCCCCACACCGTGAGGCTGGCAGGGTGGCTGGCAGTGTGAGGCTCCCCCACACCTGGGCAGCCGATGAGAAATGAGCTCTCAGTGTGGAGGAGCGTTCCTGGCTGATGGTTCATTCCAAAGACGAAACCATGCTCTCAAAGTCAGAATTATTAAATGACTAGATCAATCTTCATGTAAATCCAATATGGCCCCTTGACAGCCCCAACACAACCCCTGCCCACCAGGCCACTTCCCCCGTGCTGACAGTACACAAACACTGCCTGATTACAGTTTATTTTTAATAAACCAGCCCCACTGTGCCCGTTCTAGTAGCTGAAGGTCTCCCTAAGGGCAGTTTCCTAGGACGAGTCAATTTGCTATTTACAGCAAATTACTTCTTGTTGTCTTTCCCCGATCCACATGTTAGCACAAGCACAGGCTCTGGCTCTGACCTAGCGGGGGAAAGGGAGGTGATGTCGAATGAATACAGCACGGCCTGCAGATGGCATCAGTAGCTGTAGGAGCGCAGGGCTCTGGTCCTGCTTGGCATGTGGCACGCTGTACCGCAACCCAGTCATTTAGTCACTCTTGTCCAGACTCAGTGGGGGGAGGGGATTGCTCCTCCATGGCAACCATTGGGCTTCTAGGAATATTTTCACTTAACTTGGTTTTCGGTCTCTGCATCCTGTGACTGCTCTCAGAATGTGACTAGCAGCAGATTCAGCAAATGACAAGGACAATGAACATGGCCTTCGACTACCTGTCTGAAGGTACAGATCTCCATTGGTCCTGATGACCCAGGCTGTGTCATCACTCAGGGCCACAAACACAGCCTGGGGCAGAGCCTCATACCAGTGCCGCTTTCCCTTGATGGTAACTTTGCCACAAGCAAAAGCACGGTTAGATTTCTGTTCAATCTTCCAGAGAAGAGCCCCTAGGAGGAAAAAAATTCTACTCACTGCTCAACAAACATACGATTCACCTGTACAAAAACTCAATTTGGGCACTGCAAGGGACAGCTTCCTAAAATATGTGTTGTTGCTTCTTACTCAGGGAAGAGCCCACCATGCCAGAGTTTGGACTGTTGTTGGACATCAGTGTGAGTGAGTCCAAGCCTCAATTTCCTCAACTGAAAAATGGGGGCATTCCTACCTTCTGGGGCTGACCCAAAGGCTAAAGGTAAGGGGAAGTCCACCACAGAGCACACAGGGTTGGACAGAGGTAGCCATTCACAATGATGTGTGTGTGTGTCTGTGTGTGTGTGTGTGTGTGTGTGTGAGAGAGAGAGAGAGAGAGAGAGAGAGAGAGAGAGAGAGAGAGTACTGTAGGCTTGATTAGTTAAGTGAGGCACAATTAATGGCCAAATACTAACCTTGGGGACTCAAAGGGAGGGCCTCTTCTGGACCACTGAGTTGGGTGGGCACGTTTCATTAAGAGGACTCTGAGGCGCTGATAAAGGAGGCAAGGGAAGGTGGAAGGCAGGCCAGGGAACTACAGACGGCGGCTGAACACTGGGTGAGGGAATGAATGAGCATGATCTGAGCTAAACAAGGTCTGCAGAGTGCCCATGTGTGGGGCACAGGGCCTGAGGCATCCAATTATGTGAACCCAGAACATAGCTATCCCAGATGTAAATAATGACCTCACAGCGACAGAAAGATCCAACCACAGCAAGCAAGGAATGGTCGGGAAAATAAAAAGTAATGAATACAATTAAGACTCTCCATCTTGACTCCTCCTTCCTCCTTCCTCTTTCCTCATCTCCTAGTCCCGCCTATCTTGCTTTCCTATTGGCCAACAGTGCTTTATTCATTGACCAGTATGAGAAAGGTATACAGAATGACATCTCCCATCAGCAGAGAACCAAAAGTATGTGGCAGAAACAGGAAAAACATCAAGGCATACAATTATACAATGCCAACTAATGGAGTGGCTATTATCTCCAACATCTCCAGAGGAAAATAATTTTCAAGCAAGTAGTGAAAGAAAATAAGGAAACTACCCTAATAAACTAACTTTTTTAACAGGAACTCCCTTTCTTTTGCTTCTCTGCCATGATCCTCACTGCTTCAGAATAAACATGTGTCTAGCATTAGCAAAAAGCAAACGCAGCATAGTGGATTATGCCTATAACCCCAGCTTTTGGGAGACCAGCACAGGAAGACCCAAAGCTTGAGGCCAGCCAGGACTGCAGTGAATTCAAGGCCAGTCTGCGCTATATAGCGAGGTCTTGTCTAAAAACAAAACAAAGAAAAACCCACTAACAAGCAAGTAAATAAGTCTCGGTAGATAAGAGGGTTATCTCAGCCTACCAGAGCTGCATTCTTAACAGGGTCCTTGGGTTCACTAAAATGCTAAGGGGTGGCATGAAAATCTGAGGGCCTTTCCTACTGCAGTCACGAAAGACTTCTGAAAAGGCAGGCAGATGACTGGTACACATCCAGCACACATCCACAGGCCTGTCTTCACAGTTCAGCTACTTTATAGCCATACTGACAAACAGAAATATATGTTATTTCTATGAGGATTTAGTATGCCAACATGGCTAAAAGAAGCCCTCAAAATTCAAATTATTTGTATAGCTTACAAAAATATGTTCATGTGCTATGTTGTCACTGCAATTATTAAAATAAAAAAACCAAAAATTCAAGCAAGTGTGCTGCACACCCATTATCGTAGCGGGTGTCAAAGGAAGCATTCATGGTCTTTACAGACCTTGCCTAAGCTGGCAGGAAGGTCAGTCTGATGACAGTATGCTGTTGCCAGAGGACAGCTGCCCTGTGAGCTGGGGGCAGGGTTGAGGGTTGGGAAATGGGAGCTGGGAGGCGAACCTGAGGGAGAGACTGCCACCTGCTGGACAGCATCTTCAAACCTCTGCCAGCGCAGCCCTGCGCCGGGCAGGGCGCTGCAGAACAGGCCACCTTTGTAGTCCAGGCACCAGATAAACTTTTCCGAGACGGCCAAGCTGAGAATTCCGTAGCCAGGACCTGAGTAGCCCATCCAGCTCTCTGCAAACTAACAAGAACAGAGGCTAGTGAGTTCTGTGGCAAGACACACAGCTTCATCATATTGTTACCGACATGGAAAGTGGGCAGATTCTTAAAGTGAAGGGATCTTTGACAAGCCTTGTCTACCTACCCCTGCTCTCCTGGGATTCAATCCCAGAAACATTCTGGAACAGGAGCTGTGGTCCTCATGGAAGACCCCATAACTTCCCTGGATAACTTTCTCATGGCGTGGCACCTTTCTGAAGCAATGCTTAAAGGTGTATCCAACCATTGGACAGAACAAGAAGACACGGTCATCCAGTAAGTCCACTCTCAGGAAGCATGCACCTGAGTTACCCCATCTCCCAAAAGAAGTCTGCCAAGAAAACCTAACATTTTAAGTAAACGTTTGATTTTATGTGCTTATAGCTATCCCTGTGTGCATGCTGCACATAGGATCCAGACTACACATGTGGTAGAGCATAACATCACATTGTAAGAGGTCTGGCCTTATTGTATGCATACCTCACTTTACACAAGAAGGTGTGTTCATCAACACACATATGAAAATCAACTTTCTGTATACTCATTATACAGATGCATTATAATGCTGCCTGCATTAGATTTTCAAGCACTGCTCTAAACTGGTCTAATTTCTGTACACCTGGTATACTGTATGCGAACAGCTGGGGGAAGGGTGGACGAGGCACTGCCTGAATTTTGTACACTAAGGCTTTGTTGCTGTATTTTTTCATTTGTATTACATTTATTTAATGTAATTATGTGTGTGTACACATGTGTGTGAAGTAGCACATGTGTGTCAGTCAGAGGACAATTTGTGAGAGTTGGTTCTCTGTGGAATTCCATCATATGGATCCTAGACTTGGAACTCAGGCCATCAGGCATTAGCCGTTACCCACTCACCTGGCACGCTGTTCCTTGTTGCTAGGACTTGTTTAAAAGTCAAATAAGGTCATACACTTAATTATACATAGTTGCACAGACACTTGATATGAAAGCTGGTGTATGAAAGAGAATGGTATTTACCTCCTCTCCACCTGACTCTGCTTACCACAGCAAACTTTTTTCTCCTAGCCCTCCTTCTCCAAAACAACAACAACCAACATTTCTAGGCTTTTCTGCTATATGGAATGAGACCAGGTGTGGCAAAGTTTGGTAGGTTACTTCAGAGATCCGAGATCGTTGCCCTCAAGTGAGGGCTTTCCTAGGAGTCCAGCTAGTTAGGCCTAACACCCACCAACAGGTATGAGCTGCCAGGTAGTGTTCTGTCAGGTGACCACCCTGCCGTGGCTTCCCACAGCCCTGCACTTGGCTCAACACCCTTACCCAAGCCCCACTCAACTGATATTCTCAACATGAGCCTGGCTTCCCAGAGCCACCGGGCCCACGGCTAGCTGCCGCTTGCACCGAACTCCTCAGCAGGAAACATGCACTGCCGGCTACGAACACTTAGGAGCCAGTGCACCGAAGAGATGAGTACAGGATGCAGAACAATGCAAACTTCTGGGACATTCTCAAAACTTTGAGACACAACAGAGAACGGGAGATAACCTGTCTCCACCCCACCCAAGAGAAAACAAAGTGACTTAAGCGTGTGACGTGCTCAGCACGTGGTGAGAACTGATTAAACCCCATGCTCTTAGCTCTGAAGATGTAGGGTGGCCTTGCATCAATTGCGAGGGAGTGTGATGATTCGGGGTTAGTTCTGAAGCCAAATATATTTGCTAAGACTTATTTGCTGAAGAAAATAAGTACTTAAAAATGATTTTTAGGGCTGGGCCTGGTGGTAAAACACTTAAACCAAGTACTCCGGAGGCAGAGGCAGGTAGACATCTGACTTCAAGGCCAGCCTTGCCCGTATAGTGAATTCTAAGACAGCCAGCTATGTAGAGAGACCCTGTTTTTAAAAAATAATTTATATAAAAGTCCTCAGAACAATAAATTACACTGGCTGAGAAGCCCTATGGCAGATTACGGGTTTCGTTCTGTAAAGTGTGTCCTGGGGGCACTGTGTAGATGCTGAGGAAACAGAATTTCTGGAAAGGCCCCAATTCATATTGATGTTCCTAGCAGCCAACAGACCGTGGAGGAGGGCAGGGACTACCCACCTCGTGTGTGTGCTCAGAGCAAACAGTCCTATGCCCACTGGTGTTCCAATGGCCCCAGGCCACCTTAAGTACCCAAACTGGCCCGGCTTTGTAAGAAGTACTACAGTGCCAATTATTCAGGGCCCGTCATAGGCCATTGCCCCAAACCCAGACTTCAAAGCTGCACATTTTACAGGAGTAGGATTTTATGAGTGAGCCAAGGGTGCCCCTTAAAGGAAAAACAGCAGCTGTGCCTTAGTTACAGTCCCGCCATCAGCACACTGACCTGATCTGTCTTGAGCAGCATGGTGTCATCAGTCCCTGGCTGGCTCAGGTCCTGCAGAGATTGACCAGCTCCAAGCTCTGCCACACTCGTCTCCGAGGATGAAGATGGAAGCCCATGGGCATAAATGTCTTCCTCATCACTGGACGTCACTGCCTGATCCTGGAAAGGCTGGTCCAGCCAATGCTCGTGGGTGCTGGCCACCAACGTAGAGACAAGAGGAGTTACCTGGCCTTCCACATTTCCTGTGCTACATTCAGAAGTGGGCAGTTCTTTCTGACCTGTGTCGTTATTGGTGACCACATGCCAAGGGTTAGAGCTCAGGTGGCTAGGGACCCTCACATGGGTCAAGATGTCCAGTTCTGGGCTGGCCTCCTCAGAGCTCACCTCATAAGCTCCAATCCCGGGCAGCCACTGCGCAGCACCTGGGGGCCAGCCGAGGCTGGAAGGTACCATAAATGAATCCGGAGGAGGGGCTTCAGAACAAGTGCTCTGGAGGTCACTGAACTCACTGGCGTGCACCTCCTGCCCCTCAGCAGAGGCGTGCTGTCTCTGCAGACACAGCTGTGTCTGTGCTGCTGCCCCAGCGGCAGGCTCGGGCTCCCCTTCAAGTCCTGGGATGATGTCATCACCTCCATCCTCCCCGGGCAGAAAGGGTAAACCTAACACTCCACTGAGCAGGCCCATGTCCTGTGTGTGGTCACACTGGGAAGCTCCCTTTCCAGTACCGGTTTCTTCAATCACTGGGTCAGGGGCAGACTCGGGCACCTCGAGGACACGGGAAGTTTCAGGGCCGTTGTCTTCCTGCACGATCCCATTCACCTCAGCACTGGGGGTGCTCTCCTGGTCTGGGGAGCCTGTGCTCAACCGATCCACACTACTGGCCAGAACACTTGAGGTCATGGACAAGAGCTCTGTGCTCACAGACTGGGGGCTGTCACCGGGGAACTCAGAGCAGGGGGTTGACGAGAGGGAGCTGTGGCAGGCACTCCTGGTTCCGCCGCCTTCTAGTTTAAAATGAGAACATTCAAAATCAGGCACGACTCTGCATAAATAACCAGAATATGAAAAATGTTCGGCTCAGAAGGAAGATATTGTACACGATGGATATTTAGTAGGGTATAAATTCATCCCTACAGCCCCAGAACGTGGGAGTTTGAGGTCCAGGCTAGCCTCAGCTGTTTACTGAGACTCTGTTCTCACACCCCACATAAAAGGAGGAGGAAACAAGGCAGTAATCCCAGCACTCGGGAGGCAGAAGCAGGAGAATCTCTGAGTTCAAGGCCAGCCTGGACTACAGAGTGAGTTCTGGGACCTTGTCTCCAAAAAAATAAATAAATAAATTTAAAAGCAGAAATGATCTCATGTCAGGAATGCCCAGAAGGCACGTGAGAGAAATGCTAAGAAAGTGGAATAGGAATTAAGTACCATTCCTTTAGTAATGTAGCAACTTTAGCTAGAAGAGTCAATGGGCACCAAGGAGTAAGGGCTTAAAAAGTTCTGTCACTGGTCATGACAGCACACACCTTTGATCCCAGAGCCAGAGGCAGCAAGATCTCTGTGACTTCAAGGCTAGCCTGGTCTACACAGTAAGTTCTGGGGCAGTCAGGACTACATAGAGAAATCTACCTCAAAAAAAAAAAAAGGGGGTGGATTCTATGTTAAATGCCATATTTGGTAACATGTCAACACAAAAACACAAAATGTAAGACGCCCAACAATGATACCAGCATAAACCCCGTTTCGATGACTGTCCCGCGTGTTTGTAGGGTCTCAGGTCTGATGGATGGTGTATGTGGATGTGGTAGTGTGAATGTAATTGGCTCCCATAGTCTCATGGGGAGTGGCTCTGTTAGGAGGCGTGGCTCTGTTGGAGGAAGTGTATGGGGAGGGCTCTGAGGACTCCCATGCTTAGGGCACTGCCCAGTGTCTCAGTCGAATTCCCGTTGGCTGCAACATGTACAGCTCTTAGCTACTACTCCAGCACATCTGCCTGCATGCTGACATGCTCCTCCCATGGTGATAATGGACTGAACTCTGAAACTGGAAGCAAGCCACTCCACTTAAATGTTTCTTTGTAAGACTCGCCATGGTCATGGGGTCTCTTCACAGCAATAGAAACCCAAGACAGGGTAAGTGAGGATTTTACATTAAATATCATCTTAAATATTAAAAGGAGTAAAATCCAGACCATTGATCAGGGCCTGGCCACGTGCATAAATGCCCTACCAATGCAGGTCCTACAGAGCTTCTGTGTTCACGTGTCTACTGTTACTTTGTGGGCAGGAGCGCTTTCAGGGTGTGACGCGCCCTGTCTGGCCTGGAGTAGCGAGCACCCTTTCAGAGCAGTGGCACCCCTGGTAGATGTGCACATCCCCAACGGTTAGGCCCTAGGTGCCACACGAGTGAGTCAGAGTGCGCTTGCCCATGGACAGTACCTGTCCTTTTCTTCCTCCTCCTTTTCTTCACTTTGATGGGTTTCACAATAAGCTCCTGGTCAAAGTCTTCAGAGCTGATAACGCTGAATCTCTGTGAGGATGGCTGGCCGCCCTGGTCCAGCTCAGGGGCAGCCTGAAGTCCCGGCAGCAGCAGTCCAGAGCCACTGTCCGTGGAGTTGAGTGAACTGCTCCTGCTCCGTTGCTCACTGGCCACAGAACTGGCCACTGAAGAGCCTCGAAGCCTTGTTTCACAAACAGTGGCCCCTGGTGATTTTTCCAGATGCTGCCCATGGACCTGCTCTGAACATCTTGCCTGCAGACCATCTCTCGCTAAGAAAGAAGAGTTTAGTTTACTATGGTTCTTCCAGAGACATCTGCATGCATCTCTCAGTTTGCTAGCCTGAACACCAGTAGTCACAGGAAGACCAAGAATCTCTCCTACTAAAAACCTGAGCAACTCCAAATTCTCCAAACCCAGAGGCAGGTAGTCGTGCATGTGCACATAAAAACAAACAAACAAACAAACAAACAAACAAACAACAAGGAGTAGTTACCAAGCCTGTACTCAGCATGTACAAGGCCCAGCCCGGGGCTGAATCCCAGCACTGCAAAATAAAACAAAACAAGACCCTGGTCCTGTAGCAGACACCTATAATTCTAGCACTTTGGAGGCTGAGGCAGAAGAAATGCAACTTAGGGGCCAACCTGGATCCTGTCTAAAAACTAAAAAACTAAAAACAAATCAAAACAAAAAACGGCCTGCATGAACTATAAAATTAAAAATCAAAGGACACTCTGAGTCCAGGGCAATAGATACACACCCGATTATAAGTTCCACTGATTTATATTACCCAAATCTGTGTCTCAGACAGGGCACCTGCTTCTGATCTCCGCTTCCCACTGACTCAACCACCCCTCCTCACAAGCAGAGGCAGTTCTTCCAGCGCTGTGCGACTGCCCAATACATTCTTAAAGCAGGCCACCTCCCTGACAAGCACTCTGAACCTTTTCAGGGTCCCAGGCCTCCAAAAGCGTCCACGTCTAAACAAACCCCAACTTTCTTTCTTTTGTTTTCTTTTTTTGTTGTTATTCGGTTTTGGTTTGTTTTTCAATACAGGGTTTCTCTGTGTGGCCTTGGCTGTCCTGGAACTCCCTCTGTAGAGCAAGCTGACCTCATGTGCCTCATTCTCCCTGAGTGCTGGGATTAAAGGCCCACAGCTGGTTTAAGCTGGTTTATCTATTACAGGCAGGAAGGATGCTTTACAGAGCATAGGACTCAGTGCACACAGTACACTTGGCAATGAATACAAACCTATGGATGCGAGTCCCTCAGGCCTGCTTGAAATCCTTATAATGTTCCTATCTCCCTTCAGGAAAAATATTTCATTTTCTGTGCAGGTAACAGACACAATATCACCCAATCCTTCCAAACCAGCAATGGTGGCCTGTCAAAATAAACAAACATGAAATCAGGCAATAAAAACAAAAACATAAACAAGTAAGTGTGATAATCCAAACAATTGTAATTGTTAGATTTTGTTATGGCAATTCCTGGAAAACTTGTGAAAGCAATTCAACCCATACGTGGGACCTGAGTCACGTGACTGAGCACTGAGTACCATGACTGTACCAGGGAAATGCACAGCCCTCCCACCTCTCATCTATTCCCTTCTGAGACCTGCTAGCCCTCACCCTTCTCGTGACATGAAGCTCACACTCCTCGTCAGGCCATTCCGACCTGCCTGTCATCAGTTTATATGGTGCCTCAAGGAACTGGTGAGTGCCGGCCAAAGACTAGCCTATTCCCCGTGGCTTATGCACACAGCACGGGCTTTTCTCCTGCTGGGCTTCCCTTCCTATCCCTGGGAAGGAAGCCTCAGGAAGTGCTGCTTGAGCACTGTCACCCTGAGGAGAGACCAAGCGTCCCCAACGGTTGACAGCATGTACTACAAACTTGTATGTCATTCTTCTGTCCTGGGCTGGCTAGGAACGACACAGCAGCCAACAAGAGCCTCTGCTGTGTGCTTTCCTAAGGAAGAGAAGACCGGGAGCCTTGCAGCCCGAGCCTTTTGAGTGAATGAAGAGGAGGAGGAAAACGGCTAAAAGCCTGAGTGCACACAAATCTAAAGCAGCTCTTGTCAGCTGACAGCGTGCACGAGAGATGAGCTCACTGCAGGAGACACCGAGACTCGGTTCTCTGGTAATTTTTAGGCAGTCTTGACAGAAAGCAGGAAACACGATAGCATGTTGCTTCAGGGCGGTGCAGACTGTTGCTGTGGAAGTGGCGTCTGTTCAGACACACTGTCTCCATTGCCCTGCTATTAAGTGAAGCTATTACACCTGCGCTGACAGTCACAGGGGATGTGCTCAGATGAAAAGGACTGACGTATAATTGCAACATGTCTTAAAGCCACCAATTAAGAAGTGCAACAGGAGCCCAGGAGAAAGATCAAGTCATCCACAATGGGAGAAACCAAATAAACAAATGAAGGGTTAGAAGGTGACCCCTTACTCCAGAACCCCGGCGCCCACTGTCCAGATAAAAGAGCCAAGTTCAGGCAGATCAGAGACTTATAGGGCCAGGTTACCTGTGCACCAAAAGTGTCACCAAGCACGGCTGGTGACCAGGGAGTGTGTGTGTGGGGGGGGCAGGTGAGTTTGATTCTGCAGAGGCTCTCTCTAGAGATGTGGCACCACAGGCCCACAGAGCTCATGTGGAGGAAGAGAGTCTGGCCTGGATTCTGGAGGCAGAGAGTAGGAAGTGAGGCAGGCCAGAACAACTAAACAGCTCTGTCCTAAACCCGACTCTGGAAGTAACCCTGTTATCACCTGATCCAGGCAGAACTCGTTTTCTACCTGGGAAACTGCCAAGATATGCCAGTAAGTTTCTAAAGAGGAAGGGGAAAAGCAGAATAATATGGGGATAAGAAGCACAGTAAAAGAAGACACAAACAAACCAGGACAGCCCGGGGAGGGAGGAACCTGCTCCCGGGCTGGCACCACTGTGAGCCCTGACAGCCCTCAGAGTTAGCCTTTCGGTCGTCACTGGATTAGACTATAGTAATCTGGTAGTCAGAAAACACTTGGCCCAGAAAGGCCTGGTGGCGCAGGTGTAATCCCAGGTGCTTGGCAGGCTAAGCAAGGCGATCAAAAGTTTAAGGCCTCCCTGAGCTACAAAAAAGGGTTCAAGACCAGCCGGGACAGCTTAGTGACTCCCTATCTCTAAATAAAAAGAAAAAACAAAAACAAAGCAGAGCACTGACCAGCATTCATGAATGCCAAACGGAAACAAAACACACCACGCAGAAGGGCACACAGAAGGGGTGTAGCTAAGAGACAGAGCTACACACACACACACACACACACTCACACATGCACACTCACACACAGACACACACTCACACATACACACTCACACACAGACACACACTCACACACACACTCACACACTCACAGACATACACTCACACATACACACATACACACACTGACACAGACACACTCACACACTGACACAGACACACTCACCCACAGTCCTCACACACACAGTCCTCACACACAGAGTCCTCACACACACACACCACACAACACAGTCCTCACACACACACACAGTCCTCACACACACTCACTCACACAGTCCTCACACACACACACACAGTTCTCACACACACACACAGTCCACACACACACACATGCACACACACACACAGTCCACACACACACACACACAGTCCTCACACACATGCACACATACACAGTCCAAACACACACACACCACACACACACAGACACACACACACTCACACACACCGTGAGTTCAATCACGAGAAGAGTGTACACATGCATGGGAAGGCAGGGTAGGTTGGTGAGAGGCTTGGTAGCAAAGGTAAAGGCACTTACCATCAGACCAGATGACCTGAGTTCAATCCCTGAAAGCCAATGTGGAGGTCGGTCGGAGGCGACCTCCACACAGGTGCAAGGACATGCAGGAGTAGGCAAGCAGGCACATGTGTGCGCGCACACACACAACACGCACACATAGATACAATTTTTTAAAATGACCCAGAAAGGTTATAATGAACACGTTTAATTTGGGGCTTTAGAGACCCCCCCCAAAAACATCTAATTTCTTGGTAGACTAAGACCATGAGTATCAAAAAGCAAATTATTTTTCTTTCTTTTTTGTTTTTTTGAGAGAGTTTCTTATAAATTATTTTTCAAACGTACAAAAATTACTGAACTCCATTTGATTTCCTCGATTGTCTCAAATGAAAAGGGAAAAAAAGAAGAAAAAGCCCCAGAGTGCACGCTGCTCCTTTCCTTTCCCAGGAGCCCAGCGCTGAACCCCTGTGGACCTGCACCCTCCTGCCCTATGACCCCACACACCTGGTTGACGGTATCCAGAAGATAGATACTGTACTCATTCCAGCTCAACACCCAGCCTTCTCGGAAGAAGCATGACACAAGCCCCAGGTGTTTCTCGGGAGCGCTGCAGCTTCCCCCATCAGAGGGCTCCAGACGAGGGTAGAGCTCAAAAGGTGTGACTCCTCCAGCAAAGACGTCCTTGAGGATAAAGGTGGCTTGAACGGTCCCATGGACATCAGCCTTCCACAGACGGAGCCCAGGCCGGGCTGCATATAGGGTTAGATCACTTTGCTTACATAGTCCTGGTATAAAACAAGCACCAAATTTCCCAGTACTAAAATTGGAAGAAAAAAATGAAAGAAAGAAAGAAAAAACAAAAACAAAAACAAAACAGGCATGGACTGACCTGAAGTGATACAATTGTCAACTCCTAATATCAGCTCTAAGAATCTGCTGACTGACACAGATCATTGCTTTCCTTGTTCTGTCTGCTGTTTATTGGTCACCAAGTCACACTGGCACCTTTGTACCAACCAGGCCCCACCACAGCTCCATAAATACGCACCACCTGGAGCATACATCCTAGATTCCAAGGGTCCTCAATATCATCAATGGTACCCACGCAGCTCGCTTGTGTCCCATGCTTACGCCCATCCTCCCTTTAATTTTTGTTGCATCTCCATGACAATTATAACTTTTGTTACCAAACAAAAAGTGACAAACCAGGGCTGTCCCAACTCTGCTCTGCAATGCTGTTCCTTCTAAAGTCTGATGGACGTGCTCACTCCAGTTTCTTGAATGAAAAGTTTCATGTCTAGAGTAGCTCATCTTTATCTCTTTCAAAATTTCTCCAAACCCATCATGTGTACCAGTTTCTCTTCCATTCTCCAGCTTGGTATTATTTCCTTACAAAACCCTGAAATACCCGGCACACACCAAGGAGCATGTGTGGGAGCTGGAGGCGTGGCCAGCAGTGAAGCGCACACCGTTGCTCTTGCAGATGACCCAGATTTGGTGCCAGCATAGTGGCTCACAATCAGCTGTAACTCTAGTTCTGGGGGATCTGATGCTCATTTCTGACCTCCTCAGGCACCAGGCACAACACTCACACACACTAAATAATTGTATTTTATTTTTTGAGGCAGGGATTCTCTGGAACTCTATCTGTAAACCAGCTGGAAACTTCTGCCTGTTGCTTCCCAGGTGAATCACCACACTCAGCAATAAACGTTTTTTAAAAGAGAAAAAGAAGGCGGGCAGTGTGTGGGGGGGGTCACATGAGAGCAAGTGCCAGTGGAGGCCAGAAGATGGCACAGGACCCCGGGACTAGAGGCGGGGGTGTGTGATCACCCAGCATGCAGGATGGAGGAGGGCTCTGTCCTCAGCGACAGCAGTGATGCTCTAACTGATGACTGGGGTGACCTCCGGCTCTACACACAGTGTACACACGCACACCCGCCTTTTAAGTTACACACACACACTTTTAAGTTACACACACACAATATACACACACACACTTTTAAGTTACACACACACAATATACACACACACACACTTTTAAGTTATACACACACAATATACACACACACACACTTTTAAGTTACACACACAGTGTACACACACACACACTTTTAAGTTACACACACAGTGTACACATGCACACCCCACTTTTGGACAATTTTAAGTAACTTGTCTTTTATACTTAACATTGTTTCTAAGATTTATCTTTGATCTAAAACAGGAAGCTATAGTACTTAATCATTTTGATTGCTATAAATTTTTTTTACAATTTATTCAATTTTTAAAATTATCCCTTTTTTGAGATAAGATCTTGTTATATAGCCCAGAGTAATCTCAAACTCAAGATTCTACTGCCTCACTTTGTTAGATTCTAGAGTCACTACACCTGACTTTATATTGTTTTAAAAACATATATTATTTCCTTGGGATACTGGAATATGCATGGATTGGGGAAAGCATGCATTATCTATGAATCTAATATTTATCTTACTTTTTATGTTACTAGGAATTGAACCATGAGCCTTGAACATGGTAGGCAAGCACTCTATTGCCCAGCTACACATGAAGTATTCTTATTTTTTAAAGAGAATGTATTTTGGGGCTGGAGAGCTATTTCAGGGGTTGAGAACACCTGCTGCTCTCACAGAGGACCTGAGTTTGATTCCCAGCTCCCACGTCAAGGTAGCTCAGCCTATAACCAGGGCCAGTGCCCCATCTGGCCTCCTCAGACATCTGTACTCACGCCGATAAACACACATACCTAATTACAAATAACTCAATAAAATCTTTTTGCTTTCCTCTCTCTGTCTCTCTCTCTCTTTTTCCTAGACAGTTTCTCTGTTGTAACAGCCCTGGCTGTCCCTCTGCCCATTACTACCTCCAGAGTGCTGGACTATTATGCCTAGATCTAAATAAAATCTTAAAGTAAATAATTTACTCAGTCTTGTTATTGGATTGTTGCTGTTGTTAATTTGTTGGTTTTGAGGCACAGTCTCATGAAACCGATGCTAGCATGGAACTTGCTAGTCCATGACTACATGACTACATACCCTGGGATGACCTTGAACTTCTGATCTTGTATCCGTTTCCTAAAAGCTTACAGGGATTACAGAGGTGTACCAAGGAGCCCACCTAAGCATTTTGTTCCTTTTCGTTTTCTTTCCCTTATGGCTGGTTGAACTCAGGGCCTCATCCAAGCTTGGCAAGTATTCTGCCACCATGCTATCAGTCTGGTATTTGGATTATTATTTTTTGGTGGTGGTAGGGGGCACAGAACTTGGAATGGAACCCAAGCTTCACACATGCTAGGTAGATCCTTGACCACTGCACTACACCTTTTTCTTCAACTATTTTTGATTTGTTTGGTTTCTGAGACAGGGTTTCACTATGCAACCCTGGATGGCCTGAAAGTCACTGTGAAGACCCAGCCTGCCTCTGCTGGGATTAAAAACATGTGCTATTATGCCTAGCCTTGTGAAGCTATTTTCCATAATAGTACCATGTTCCATAAACATTTGCTTTGTACATCCTTCCTAGGATACAGGCCTAAGAGTTTGTTCCGTTATTTCTGGAGCAGGATTGCTTAGTTTCTGCATTCAATAAGCTCATACCAGTCTCATGAGGAGACCCCTCCACCTCAGCCTCTGCCCTACAGTTGGAGTTCCCAGTTCTTACTGTTTTACATCCTTGTCAATGCTCAAGTTTCTACCAGAGTTCAAACTGAAGAGTTTTAGCTCAACTCTAAGCCTTGCTGATTCCTTTTCTAAACAGTTCTTTCTTGGCTCTAGACAGTAGAAAGGGCACTCACTGGCTTAAGCGTGCAGTTACTAGCCTTTTGGGATCTCCGTGTGCTAACCCACGGGAAGCATAGTGTCCATACTTGGGGACTGGTGCAGACTGCATGAGAAAGCTCAGAGCCACCCTGTGGCACTCTCAGTCCCCTGCCTCAGAAGCCACCCTGTCCCTCCATCCACCTCCATCCAGAGCCCATCCCTCCTCACTCCCCATCAACCCCGGGAGGTAATTATCTGGGGGTGGGGAGCTCCTCAGCAGGTCTCACTAGATCCTACTGGCAGCTTAGTAATTAAATCCCCCTGGAGAGGGTCCCGGGAGGATATCACATGTCAGATTCAGCTTTGGAACAAAGCTAGTTAGAATAATCGACTGTTTTGAGTCCACAGAGTTTTAATAGACAACTATGTAATAGGAATATGTCTGATGCTTGTCCCCTAAACAAAAAAGCCCAAAAGGAATTCTAGTTAGGCAAACCTGTGCCTCTTCATCCTACCTGTCAAATCATATGTTTGGAGATTCAATTTTTAAGTCTGTATTCTTTCTAATTATGGGCCTCTTAACTCTCTGGTCACTTCTGTTTTGTTGGCTGTATATAAATAGAGCATGTGTTTTAACATATCCTCAGTGAACTGAAACTTTCTATAAAGCTGTGATGCTAGAGGGTGTGTGTCTGTCAAAGATGAAGATGAGCTCTTCACCAGGGCTCACCCCACAGTACAGCAGGCATTTGTGAGGAGGGAAAGTGGGCATCTTGAAGAGAGGTCCCAGGGAGAGCTGGCTTTGAGGGTATTTGTGTGTTCAGGAGGTTCTGGATGGAGTGGGCAGAAGGTATTTAGCTGGGAAGAACTGGCCCATGAAGCAGCCATTCCCAAACACTTGCTGAACGAAGCATGTGCACAGGCATAGCCTGTGGACACGGGCAGGCAGCATATGACAGAAGAAAAGCCCTAAGACACGAGCTTAAAATTCCTGCATTTATCCTGCTTTACCCTGAAGGGGCTATAAAAACCATCACTCCCCTGATGAGGAGGACACATTCCTGTTTCTGCATGCTGGACCAGTCCCTGGCATACAGTGCTGTTAGTAAAGGCTACCAAAAGGCTACCATAGCACCCAGGGCAGGCACAGAAGGTTTCCAAGCACAAGCTAGGAAGGCCAGGCCTTTCCTTACAGTCCTCCAAAGAGCTAGGACTTGGCATCACGCAGAAGGGGATAGCCACAAAGATAAAGTGAGAACCCAGTTCTGCAGAACCAGGCTGCATAATTCCAGCAGTTTCCAGGGCCAACAGGAAGATCCCTATTATAAAGAGGGCAGACCACTGATGGCATTAAGAAGGTATTGAGAAAAGAACACAGGAGCCAAAGAGTGGGTGTGAGGCATCCTTCCAGCAGGAAGGATGCCAGGCAGGAAAGAGAATAAGCCTAGTGTTGCTGTAGCACACAAGGCTGGGACAGATGAGTGCACCAGACTGACGTCACTCCCCACCCCACACCGCCACCGACGGCACCGCCAGCCCCGGGGAGGCCTTCCCAGTGCCAGTCAGCCTCCTCATTCCCCAGTCTGCCTGGAATCCTCTCAACATTCCCTAACCAGCTGCCACCCTGTCCCAAACCCAGGCAGGTGAAAATATCCCTTTACGGAAAGGAGCATACAAGATGGGGCCCCTAACCCCCAAACATAATAGCAAGCTCACAACACCTGCTTGGCTCCCGGCCCTCCCCCTCCACACGAAGTGGCTACTGAGGGTCACAGCTTTCTTTTTTCTTTCAGGAGGACAGTAATGCGCAGGGTGCATATGTTCCTTTTGTCCTTCACCTTCTCTTCGCTGTCCTTCTTCTAGCAGACTATCAAAGGGTAGACACACTCTCTCAGCCTAGAACCTGCCCCTTCTTAGCCTCTCCTACTCAGCACATAGTCCTCACACCTGCAGGACCCTTCTCTGATCCCAGGCTCAGTGTGTGTCTGTTCGTTTGCTTGGTTTTGTTTTGTTGAGACAGGGTTTCTCTGTGTAGCCCTGGCTGTCCTGGAACTCACTCTGTAGACCAGGCTGGTCTTGAACTCACAGAGATCCGCCTGTCTCTTCCCTTCAAGTGCTGGGATTAACGACGTGCGCACCACCGCCCTGCCCCTGCTCAGATTTCTCCAGAACTTGGAACTGTACTCCATAGCCGCTGGCAAGACCGTCAGTAAGAGCTGGGTCTGCCTTCTGGTCTCCATGATGGGAAAGGCTCACATCTGCTAGGCTAGAGGAGACTGGGTAGTCTCATCTGGCCATAATATGCCAATGTGAAGCACACCGGCACCCGGGGCACAAGAGAGGACCCCAGAGGGAAACCATACCTGGGGTGGACACAACACTGTCTCCTAGGCCCTTGACCCAACCCTGGGCTGCAGGGGCTTTGCTCCCAGGCCCTGATCTCTTCAGCTCGAGCACTTCCTCTTCCCATCAGATTCCATAAATCATCTTTGGCAAGCACAGGCTACCAGGGACCCCACCCCAGCTGGTGTGGCTGTGGTCTCACATCTGGCTTTCAGGAAACCTAGGAGAACTTAAGGGCCAGTACTGAGAGCCACGCGAATATGCCTGAAGCTTACCTTTTCCTTGGCTGGGATCCAATCTGCTTGACGGCCTTCTCCTCTGTGTGAAAGAGCAGGCTTCTCTGCGAGGTCGACACCAGCAGCACCTTCTGGCTGTAATCCAGCTGCACAATGGATGACGGCTCTTCCAGCACAAGGTGTGAACTGCAGATGCCCTGCGAGAGAGTCAGGCCAACATGGGTCAAAACTGCCAGCTTCCCTCCCAGGGCTTAAGCATGCTTCTGCTGACTATACAGAACTCAAAAGCACAGAAAGTTTCCAGTGGTGCCAGGCATGGTGGCCACACCCATACTCCCGGAGGCAAGAAGACCAAGGGTTCAAGGTCACCCTTGGCCACACAGTGAGTCTGAGGTCAGCTGGGCTGCATGAGACCCCGTCTCAACAAAACAGAACAAAACAAAACAGCAAAAAGTATACTTTAACATCTCCAGATTCATTGTTAACGTACTGCAATGACATTTGGAAAATTCTCACCAACAAGAAAATATATATTAACATCTACTTGAGATGAGACAGAAACTCTATCATCTATCTATCTCATACTATACCAAGGCTGAAAAGAAACATCAAAAACCTACATATTTCTTTAATAATGTTCTAGTAACCAGTTCAAAGGAATCCACACAAATATGCCATGCCATGTATTAAGTCTCTTATAGCATGTAAGAGAGTATGACTGTCATTGAAATCACTATGACAGTGATCTGCTCTCATATCCTCTCTACGAAGAGTCTGAAGCAACTCTGTAGGCATTATATCCTATATCCTTCCCAACTGGAAGGGTCACAGAAAACATGTTAGAAAGAAAGGGCTGAAGGGATGGCTCAGCACATCCATGTATCAAAACTCTGGTTTTAATGCAGGTATGGTGGTACATGCTTCTAACCCCAGCATGCTGGAGGCTGAGATAGGCTTTGCTGAGTTCAAAGCCAGCCTCTGAGCTATATAGCAAGACCCAGTCTCAAAACAACCTGTTTCTTGCTGTCACTCGTCACCTCAGTGGCCTCCTCTTGTTCCATCAGAAGTCTGCTCACAGAGATGAGGGGAAGATGAGCAACAACTACAGAAAAATGTGACTGACTGTTAGGAATAGCGCTGCAAGAGCTGGGCACAGTGCACGCCTTTTATCCCAGCGCCCAGCAGGCAGAGGTAGGCAGATCCAAGTTCTAGGACAGCCAGGGCCACACAGAGACTCCGTCTCAAAACAAAAAAACAAACAAAAGAATAATGCCAAATCACTGACCCTTTGTGTGTCTCAATAATGAGATCCACTGATAAAATTTATACACATTAAATCCACCATTTTTAGGTTTCTGACTTCAATTTTGATATATCTTTAGTTATCTAACTACACTACGATCAAGATGGTGAAATTTCCATTCTCTCCAAATACTGAGAAGTTTGATGGCAGAGCCCCCCTTGTGTGAGTTAGAATGTAAATGTAACTTTCTCGTTTTAATTTAGCCTACGCTGCACATTTCAGAACAAAGAGTATTCTCTCAGCCCCCCCCCCCCAATCTCATTAAGCACCTGTCTTTTAGAATGGGCTTTCAGGGGCTGGAGAGATGGCTCAGCAGTGAAGAGTATGGGTTGCTCTTCCAGAGGACCTGGGTTTGGTTCCCAAGACCCACAGGGAGACTCACACCATCTCTAACTCCAGATCCAGTTCACTCCAAAGGATGTGATGCCCTCTTCTGGGCACTACATACAAGTGATGCACAGACACACATGCAGGCAAAACTCTCATGTACACGAAATAAAAATACATCTTTAAAAAGAAAGAAATAACTTTTCAAGGTGTTTCTGGACATCTCCCCCCAAAATTTGTATTTCCCTGAATAGTGAGTCTTGAGTGGCCTTTGCTTCTCTAGCAGTCTGCTCCCAGGGACAGGAAGGGTTGACAGGGAGAAACAGCACCACAGAAGCACCAGGGACACGCAGAATCTAAATAAACCCTTGATAACCTCGACAAGAGACGCCCCCACAGAGTAGCAGTTCTAAGTGGGGTCCACAGACCCCTAGGTCCCCAGGACTAAGGGACTCTTACAGTATATGCCAGCCCAAACCATTTTCATAGAATACTGAGATGCAGTCATATGCCCTTTATCTTAAATTTAATTTAGTTTATGTGTAAGGGTGTTTTGCCTGGTGTTATCTGTATACCATATATGTACCTGGTAGCCATGGAGGCCAGATGAGGGTGTCCAATCCCCTGGAACTGGAGTTACAGATGGTTATGAGCTACCATGCACATGCTGGGAACTGAACCTAGGTCTTTTGGTAAAGCGGCCTGTACTCTTAACCTCCCAGACAGCCTGCCTCCATTTTAGGCTTAAGAGTCATAAACTCTAAGAAAACATAAACTATATTCATGTTTATGATTAAATCTGTTTCTCAAGGATTGGGCTATGCCTCCTCTGTAACCTTAGCTACAATTGGTTCTATACTGCCTGTCCAGGGAATGGCAACCATGTGTTTGTTTCTAAAGGTTGTTAGGACGCCCTTGTTATGCTGCTCCTGTAATTTTGCCTATTTGCCTGCCAAATCCCCCTTTGGGAACCCTAATCTGGGTGCCCATGTTCAATGCCGGTCTCCTGAATTCCACCTTTAGGGGGACACAGCCCATGTACACAGATTAAAAACACTTGCCTTAATAAATTTAGCCATGATAATTTGGGTTGATTGTTTCTCTTCTTGACATCTTTGGGACTAACACCATCTCTCCTGGTCTACAGAGTGAGTTCCAGGACAGCCAGGGCTGTTACACAGAGAAACCCAGTCTTGAAAAACAAACAACCCCACGTGATAAAGCAGCTCCCTGAAGCCACAGGGTAGGCTGCCTCTCTCTGAGTTGTCTGTGAAGCAGTCCTCAAAAGCCTTAGGAATAACATACGCTACTGCCATTACTTTTCAAAGATTTCCTTTTATTTTGTGTGTAGGAGTGTTTTGCCTGCGTGCATACCTATGCACCACTTGGTGCCTCATTCCCAGGATCATAGAGGGTGCTGGGTCCCCTAGGACTGAGTTACAGACAGTTGTGAACTGCCACCGTGAGTGCTGGGAACAGAACCGGCTCCTTGGGTAGCGCAGCCAGTGCTCTTAATCTCTATGGTATCTGTGGTGGTTTGCACCCCATGGGCTCATATGGGTGTGGCCCTGTGGGAGGAAATGTGTCAGTGGGAGTGGGCTTTGAGGTTCCCTGTCCCTTTCTCTTCCCGCTGCCTGCAGAGCTGGGTAGAAAACCATTAGCTACTGCTCCTGTGCCAGGCAGGTCTGCTTCCCCATGAAAGTGGACTAACTATAAGCAAGCCTCAATTACATGCTTTCTTTTATAAGAGTCGCTTGATCATGGTGTCTCTTCAGAGCAATACAACACTGACCAAGACAGCAGTTCTTCAACAAACACTGGATGATAAGACCCTATCCTGAAGACACTGCGTGCTTAGGTTGCAGGACAGAGAAATCAAACAAGACTGAGCTGGGAGCCAGTCTCTGCTTAGGTATGCGGCCCATGCCACAGGAGGGAATTCAGGCCTGTTCTTACAAATCTGGTGGAAGCTACTATTGCTGTTTTGCTAAATGGACAAGTTGTACCCACCAAACTACCTTCTAAACATTTGTGTTTATGCCCTTAGATTAGAGCTTCTGTTAGTGTTAGTGAGAGAAGCTTCTTTTCACAGTGAGTGGAAGTTAACTGCAAAATCAAACCTGGCCAAAATGCTGAGAATACATGACTATTAAAAATGCTAACCCTAAATAGGACGTCTGTATTATCTGATAATTGAACACTAACCCTAAATAGGACATCTGTATTATCTGACTATTGAACGCTAACCCTAAATAGGATGACTGTATTATCTGACCATTGAATGCTAAGCCTAAATAGGATGTCTGTATTATCCCCTTCAAGGCACAAGGGACATCTCAGAAGAGGGGGTCACAGAGGACACAAAAGCCTCAAGACAGTGAAGAGCGCTGTGGAATGTTATCTTATGGGCATGATATTGTGGTGATGTCTTGTTTATAACCTAATAAAGCTTGCCTGCAGATCAGAATGCAAAGCCAGCCACAGCCATAGAGGCCAGGCAGGGGTGTGTATACCTTTAATCCCAGCAGCCACAGTAGTTAGTCCTAGAGGCTTGGATGGTGGTGGCATATACCTTTGATCTCAGCACTAGAGAGGTATGTAAGTCAGGAGATCAGGGTCTCATGCAGCATTCAAACTGCAGATGTAGTCTGAGGATTCATGGAGACAGATCAGCCCTTTCAGTATGAGGTAGAGGAGAGAGGGAAGGATGGGAAAGAAACCTCTGTGTGTGTGTGTGTGTGTTTTAAGGTTTACTTATTTATAAAGATTATTTCTCTATTATGTATACATCATTCCTCCTGCATGTATTACTGCAGGTCAGAAGAGGGCACCAGGTCTCATTACTGATGGTTGTGAGCCACCATGTGGTTGCTGGGAATTGAACTCAGGACCTCTGGAAGCGCAGCCAGTGCTCTTAACCTCTGAGCCATCTCTCCAGCCCCTGTTTGGTTCTTTTAGAGTCAAGGTTTCTGTGTGTAGCTCTGGCTGTCCTGGAACTCATTCTGCAGACCATGCAGGCCACAAACTCACAGAAATCCGCCTGCTTCTGCCTCCAAAATGCTGGGATTAAAGATGTGCATCTCCGCTGCCCAGCTGTAATTTTTAACTGTAGCCTTTTGGGAAATGACTGTTTTCCAGGGTGGGAGTATAAGTAAAACAGAATATCCATAGTAACACGAAAAGGCCAAGCCAACACGCCCACCACTTCCAATACTTGCCTATGTGAGGCTGGGTGTTCTTTATAGACTCCAAACAAAGCAGTATCATAGCAAACTGAGAAGAGAAGCCAGCTATCTTCCACTACACTGAATGTGGAAGAGATGTGCACCAGTAGAAAGTAACGCCACGTCTCGTTTGTTTTAATATTGTGCTATTTTCACAAAACTATGTTGTTTTATATTAACTTGCAGTGAGTTTATATAACTAAGGGCTAGAAAAACAGCTCAGTGGTGTTTGTGTGCCGTAAGCAAGGCCTAGATTATGAGTCCACTCTGTACATAATAATAATGATTTTATTTATTGTTGTTGTGAGACAGGGTCTCACTATGCAGTCCTGGCTAGTCCTCACTATGCAAAACTCAGTATGTAGACCAGGCTGCTCTCAACTGAGAAAAATACATTTGTTTCTGGCTCCCAAGTGCTCAGTCAGTTTTAATTACTTTTCTTATTATATTTACTTGGGGAGCTGTATGCCCATGCCATAGGACATGTATGAACAGTAAATGATGACTTAAAGGGGTCAATCAATTCCTTTCTGACGCATGGGTCCAGGGAATCAAATTCAGGTCATCAGGCTTGGCAGGAGGTGACTTCACTCACTGAACTGCCTCTCCAGTTCTGAGTTAGATTTCTAACATGGTATATTTTATAGCTATACTCCACACAAGAAAAAAACTTTTGGAGTCATCTTTCTAAGAGCATAAAAGATTCTGAGGCCAGGAAGTTTAGTAACTACAGCTAGGGAGTATGAGTTATAGTTCAATCTTGGACCTGAGGGCTAATAAAATAGTTAAGTTCTGCTAGGCAGAGTAGCTATCTCAAAGTAAAAAACAAACCCCACTAAGCTCTTAGGATTTAACACAGGGCATGAAGGGGGAATGCCGAGTCCATCTGGAAAGCATGTGACAAAGCACAGCACAGGAATCATAAACCCTGATTTGCAGTAGGAAAGCATGGGCTTTGCAGCAGAACCAATTTGAAGAGTTTGCCAGGCCCATGTTTGTGCCCCTGGACTGAACCTGGAAATAAGAACATACTGACAGGCTGCCAAGATGGCTCAGTGGCTCAAGGTGCGTTGCGTCTAGCCTGATGACCTGCATTTAGTCCCTGGGACTCACACAGGGGAAGCAGAGCTGGCTCTTGCAAGTTGTCCTCTACCCTCCACACAAATACTGTAGAAAGCAAGGCCCCATGCCCCACATACAAAATAAATGCTGAAAAAGCTTAAACTACATGTGATGAAGTGTCCGTGATGACACGTGATGATGACACGTGATGGGGAGAACATCATGCTACTGTCACGCCTCCCCCTCCCCACCTCCCCACAGGTCTTCCGTGCAGACGGAGGCCAGACGTTCAGTTCTCTGTTCACTGACATGACAGGAGACATGTACAATTTTCCCTTTGTTCATTTTGAGATCGGTTCTTATTATGTCACTCTAGCTGGCTTGGCACTTTCTATGCAGCCCAGGCTGGCCTTAAACACATGAAGATCCTCCTACTTCAGCTCCCAAGTGCTGCAATTATAGGGCATCGCCATGTCCGACTCAAATGCATATAATTTTACTGTTGGTTTTGCAGACCCACTCTTTAGTCACAGCAGAAGAAGCTTATAAAACACTGGAAAAGTCTAGAGAAACCACTGTGACAACTGGCAGCAGCTGGGCACGGTGGTGGAGAGCACAAGCCACTGAACCGTAAGAAGACCGCACCGCAGGACAGACGAAAGGCGGCGATGGACGATGTCTCTGAGAGTCACCTCACCTGGTCTAGATCTAGAGAGGAGTAGACGATCTTCCCCTTGTCATCTCCGGAGAACAGTTTCATCCCATTGGGGCTCCAAGCCAGAGCTGTAATGCTGGTTTTGTGAACACCAGTGACATCAAATCTCCGAAGCTACGGGTGACAACAGAGCACAAGGGAAGGACAGCTGGGTGACTGCATTCATGACAGGGTCACTCCTACTCTGGAGAAGCTGGCTTTACACACAGAACTATGCACAAGGTTCTACCTGTCTACCTACCTACTTCCTATTCTCCTACCTTCCTACCTGTCTACCTACACGCCTTCCTTCTTCCTTCCTTCCTTCCTACCTACCTACCTACCTACCTACCTACCTACCTACCTACCTACCTACCTATCCACATTCGAACCTCACAGATGGGTCAACAAAATGGCTCATCAGATAACAGCAATTGTAGCCAAGCCTGGGGATGTGAGTTTGATCTGTGGAACCTATACAGGAGAAGGAAAAAACTGATTACCCCAGATTGTTCTCTGATCTACACACACACACACACACACACACACACACACACACACACACACACACACACACACACTACAATTTTTTAAAAACTCCCAAAGAACACGAGAGGGTATTAAGAAAAATAAGAGCGATGATTTGTGCTTTATGCCAAATGTTCTAAGCAGGGACAAAGATATCACCCAGTTATAAGTAGTACAATGTCATGCTGAATATGATTTCTAGGCAGATAAGGACTGCCACCCCCCCCCCTCTCTCTCTCGACAGGGTCTTACTACGTATACCAGGTTGCCCTCAAACTCACAGGGACCTGCCTCTCTCTACCTCGGGAGTGCCAGGGTTAAAGGTGTGCGCCACCACACCCAGCTCTGAGAATTTCTCATCTTAAAAACCCACGAGGAGCCTGCCAAGAAGGGGGCGATGCTAGACCCTGAGCACTTACCTGCTTGTTCCTCCCAGGCAATGAAGACACGAGTTGGAAAACTGCGACCCTCCCAGAGGCCGTGCCTGCTGCCACAAGGTCATCAAAGCAGGTCAGCAGCTTCACCACAGTGATGGACTCTGTCTTCCCCTACAGGGACACACAAGATCAAATGAGCTGTGACCAGAGGCACTTGAATGAAAGGGGAAAGTAGCCGTAAAGCCGGAACCATGAAAGTAGGTCTGGGCCACAGCATATACATTCCTGACTGGGAATGTGTATAAGCCAGAAAGACAAAGTTAGATGTTTCTAAGATCTTTGCCTAATTATTATTTTAAAATGTACAGAGCCCCAAACTACCATTCTGTATACATTTGGGCACACTATATCCCTAATATATAGACACCCAGCATCAGTCTCCATTTCCAGAGTTACTCCATGCAGTAAAGTGGGAACTCTACACTCATCAAACAGTAAGCCCACTGGGTGTGATGGGCACACCTTTTATCCCAGCACGGGGAGGCAGAGGCCACAGAGTCTGAGTTCAAGGCCAGCTAGCCAGGTCTACAAAGTGAGTTCCTGGGCAGCCAGGGCTATGCACAGAAACCCTGCCTCCAAAAACCAAACCCAAAAACCAACAAGCCCCATTCCCCCACAGAACCCCTCCCCACCCAGCCCGTCGACTCCATTCTACTTAGACCTCTATGATTGTTAGGGCCTCGTCTGTCTTTTTCTGACTGCCACGGCACCTACCACAATGTCACAGAGTCCATGAAGCCTGCTGCGGCATGGATCAGAATCTCCTCACTCCATCCTGTACACTCACACAGCTTGCTCACTATCTCGTTTTGCTGTCATGGATGTTTTTGCTTTTGACACAGGGTCTCTCTATACTACCTAGGATGCCCTTGAACAAGCTGCTCATCCTGACCCTTCCGCTTCCCACATGCTGGGATTATTGTCACCTGTCATCATGCCTGGCTTCAGCCACTCCTGTTCTTTTTTGACTATTACTTTTTAAAGTTAGCACATAAAGCCAAGGGTTTCCTTACTGCATTTTCACACATACACATCGTTATGCTATGTTCCTGCCCCCCCCCCCCCCCCAGGTATCCTTGTCACTTTGAGCCACAGGTATTCCATTATCCTGTCTGTCTGTCTTTTTTTCTTTTTTCCAGACGGGATCTCACTATGTGGTCTCACTCTCTCTGGCTGGCTTGGAATTCACTATGTGAATCAGGCTGGCTTTGAACTTACGTAGAGATCTACCTGCCTTTGCCTCCCCTCCCAGCTACCCTGACAATCTCAGTACTCAGTCATCTTTTAATGAAGACTTCTGTTTATCACTGTAGACATTGAAAATAATGCTATGAAGAATGTTCAAATACCTCTTGAACCCCTGATTCATGACAGCTGTGACAGTGCATGTCTATAATTTCACAATGTAAATTAATTACCTTATTTATTTGTAATTTTTCTGAGACAGTCACATGCAGCCAAGGGTAGCTTCAAATTTGAGGATTTCGTTTTCCTTTCCTTTCCTTTTCTTTTTTGGTTTTTCGAAACAGAGTTTCTCTGTATAACCCTGACTATACTGGAACTTGTTCTGTAGACCAGGCTGGCCTTGAACTCCACATCCACCTGCCTCTGCCTCCCCAGCGCTGGGATCAAAGGCATGCGCCACCACTGCCTGGCTAACTTTGAACTTCTTGAACCTCCCACTTCTACCTCCGAGTGGTAGGATTACAGGAATATGCCACTATGCACGGTTTGATGCAGTGCTGGGGACCAAACTCAGAGCTTCATACGTGTTAGGCAAGCACTCTACCAGCTGAGTACATCCCAGGCCTTACAGTGGCCCTCATACATTACACTACCTTACATTCTAGGGATCAATTCTACCTTGATCGGGGAATATAATTCGTTGAACCTCCTCCTGAATTCAGTTTGCTAGCATTTTTTTTTTTTTTTTTTTTTTTTTTTGAGGATTTTTGTACGGATATTCACAAGGAATGAACCTGCAAGGTTTTAATCTGGTCATCTGTCAGGCTTTGTTATCAAAGTTAGTGTTACATGTTTTTTAAGGTTTATTTTTAATTGTGTGTGTATTTGCACACACATGTGCGTGCACTTATGAACAGTTCTCACAGAGGACAGAGGTATCCCTGGAACTGGAGTTGCAGCTGCTTGTGAACAGCCCCACAGGGTTCTGGGAACAGAACCCAGGTCTTCCGCCGGAGACACGTGTTACTAAGCACTGAGCAACTTCTACTCTTTTATTGTTCCTTACACTGATGTATGTTGTTAGTTGTGCCAAAAATTCACCTTTTTTCTTGTGTTTTCAGTATTGAATATTGAACCTGCGATATTGTGCATGCTAGGTGAAGGTTCTACCACTAAGCTATATCATCATCCCTTAATTAAGTATTAAATTGTTAACATTTATTTATTTTGTGTGTAGGGGAGGGTTGCCACAGCATGTGTAGAGGGCGGAGGACAACTGATTTACTGTTCCTCAGATGGCCATCATGTACCACTAGCTTTACCAGTTTTTACTGCTGCCATTAGTACTAACTTGATATCCTTACTAATAGAGGTGCACTGTTTTCTTTTTCTTGAAGATTTATTTTACTTTATACGTCTATGTATGTGTGTGGAAAGGCCCAATTGCTGAAGACAACCCTTATATCTCTCATTGAACACAGAGAAGCTGAACCGGTGCCTAACTGGAGCCTTTACCCCTAGCGACCAGCGTTCACGGTACTGAAAGGTGCTCTGCACACTACAAGAGGAGAAAGGTAAATAACAAGCTAGCGTCTTCAGTCACTACTGCTGGGATGAAACTCCCTGACTGGAGAAACTTAGGGAGGAAAGGTTTATTCTGCTGATACTTCCATATGATTGTTCATCACGGAAGGAACTTGGGGGCAGGAGCTGACGCAGAGGCCATGGAGAAGGGCTGCTTACTGGTTTGCTCCCTGCTTTGCTGGGCCTGCTTTCTTACAGAACCCAGGCCCACCAGACCTGTGACAGACCATCCATGATGAGTTGGTCCCTCCCCCACCAATCACTAATTAAGAAAATGCTTTACACATGGATTTTATAGAAGCATTTTTTCCAATCGATGCTCCCTCCTTTCAGATGACTCTAGCTTGTGTCAAGCTGACATAAAACCAGCCGGGACACCAGCTACAAACCCTCTGATCCCCGACAGTGACCTGCATGCATGATAGGCCACAGCTGGAGGAGCAGCCAATCACCGGCTGCTTGGATCTAAGACCTACTCTATGCCTTAACCTGCCTGGGTGGCCAAGAATACGAGACTACATAGGCCCAGGGCCTGGGGGACTAAATACTGTTGTTCTAGGAAAGGAATGGAGCAAGGAAAGCTGCTGAGGTATGGCATGTGTCAGAGGTGTCCCTGAATGGGGGCATGTGTCAGAGGTGTCCCTGAATGGGGGCCTGTGTCAGAGGTGTCCCTGAATGGAGGCCTGTATCAGAGGTGTCCCTGAATGGGGGCATGTGTCAGAGGTGTCCCTGAATGGGGGCCTGCAGGGGCCACTGCAGGGATCTGCGAATGTGAAGCCTGGATTGACTTGCCTTGGAGAATGTAAGATGTTATAGACTCCAGAGTCATGGGTACCTGCTGAGGAGAGCTGCTACCGGAGTGCAACCAGCTGCACTCAACAAAGCTGACCAGAATTGGAGATCTGAAGAGCACTGACGTCAGACATGGAGACGCAGGGTTTGGAGTTTCCCAGCTGGTTTTTGGCTTGCTCTGGTCCAGTATCTCCTCACTCTGCTCCCTTCCCTAGGTTTTGGAATGGTAATGTATATCCTGGCCATTATATGTTGGAAGTACGTGATCTGTTTTATGATGATGATGATGATGACGACGATTTTATAGGGGATTACAGTTAAGAGACTGCATGAATCTCAGAAGAGACTTTGAACTTTAGACTTTTAAATAAGTTTGAAACTGTTATGGGGACTTTTGAAGTTGAACTGAATGCATTTCTGCATTGTGGTGTGGCTGTAAGACTTTGGGGGCCAGAGAGCAGAATGTGGTGGGTTAGAAGGAAGTAGTACAATTAGGAGGTGTGGCTATTTTGGAGTTGGAGGAAGCGTGGGCTTTGAGGAGGTGTGGCTATTTTGGAGTTGGAGGAAGTGTGGGCTTTGAGGAGGCGTGGCTATTTTGGAGTTGGAGAAGTGTGGGCTTTGAGGAGGTGTGGCTATTTTGGAGTTGGAGGAAGTGTGGGCTTTGAGGAGGTGTGGCTATTTTGGAGTTGGAGAAGTGTGGGCTTTGAGGAGGTGTGGCTATTTTGGAGTTGGAGGAAGTGTGGGCTTTGAGGAGGTGTGGCTATTTTGGAGTTGGAGGAAGTGTGGGCTTTGAGGAGGTGTGGCTATTTTGGAGTTGGAGAAGTGTGGGCTTTGAGGAGGTGTGGCTATTTTGGAGTTGGAGAAGTGTGGGCTTTGAGGAGGTGTGGCTATTTTGGAGTTGGAGGAAGTGTGGGCTTTGAGGAGGCGTGGCTATTTTGGAGTTGGAGGAAGTGTGGGCTTTGAGGAGGTGTGGCTATTTTGGAGTTGGAGAAGTGTGGGCTTTGAGGAGGTGTGGCTATTTTGGAGTTGGAGGAAGTGTGGGCTTTGAGGAGGCGTGGCTATTTTGGAGTTGGAGGAAGTGTGGGCTTTGAGGAGGTGTGGCTATTTTGGAGTTGGAGAAGTGTGGGCTTTGAGGAGGTGTGGCTATTTTGGAGTTGGAGAAGGGTGGGCTTTGAGGTCTCCTATACTGAAGCTACTCCCAGTGTTATACAACTCCCTGTTGCCTGCGATAGTAGGGCTCTCAGTCACTTCTCCAGCACTGCCATGCTCCCTGCCATGACGACCATGAACTGAAGCTCTGAACTGTAAGCCAGCCACCCCAGTTAAATGTTCCCTTTATAAGAGTTGCTGTGGTCATGGTGTCTCTTCAGAGCAATAGGAACCCTTACTAAGACAGATGGGTAGGAAGGTGAGGAGGATCTGGGAAGAGATGAGGGAGGAGAGACTGTGATTGGAATGTTTTATGAAAAGGAATGTATTTTTAAAAATTTATTCATTTTGTAGAGTGTTCTGTGTGCATGCATGCCTGTACGCCAGAAGAGGACGCCAGA